TCTTGTGTTTCAAAGAACATTATCAAGAGAGTGAAAAGACATCACACAGAATGGAAAAATTACTCAGAAATTATTTATCTGATCTATATTTCTGTCTTTGTGCCAGTACCATACTGTCTTGATGACTGTGGCTTTGTAGTATAGTCTGAAGTCAGGCAGATTGATTCCTCCAGTTCCATTCTTCTTTCTCAGGATTACTTTGGCTATTCGAGGTTTTTTGTATTTCCATACAAATTGTGAAATTATTCGTTCTAGTTCTGTGAAAAATACCGTTGGTAGTTTGATAGGGATTTCATTGAATCTGTAGATTGCTTTGGGTAGTATAGCCATTTTGACAATATTGATTCTTCCAATCCATGAACACGGTATATTTCTCCATCTGTTTGTGTCCTCTTTGATTTCTTTCATCAGTGTTTTATAGTTTTCTATGTATAGGTCTTTTGTTTCTTTAGGTAGATATACTCCTAAGTATTTTATTCTTTTTGTTGCAATGGTGAATGGTATCGTTTCCTTAATTTCTCTTTCTGTTTTCTCATTGTTAGTGTATAGGAATGCAAGAGATTTCTGTGTGTTAATTTTATATCCTGCAACTTTACTGTATTGGTTGATTAGCTCTAGTAATTTTCTGGTAGAGTCTTTAGGATTTTCTATGTAGAGGATCATGTCATCTGCAAACAGCGAGAGTTTCACTTCTTCTTTTCCTATCTGGATTCCTTTTACTTCTTTTTCTGCTCTGATTGCTGTGGCCAAAACTTCCAAAACTATGTTGAATAGTAGAATTGAATAGATCAATGAATAGTAGAATTGAATAGATCAATGGAACAGAATAGAAAGCCCAGAGATAAATCCACGAACCTATGGTCACCTTATCTTTGACAAAGGAGGCAAGGATATACAATGGAAAAAAGACAACCTCTTTAACAAGTGGTGCTGGGAAAACTGGTCAACCACCTGTAAAAGAATGAAACTAGAACACTTTCTAACACCATACACAAAAATAAACTCAAAATGGATTAAAGATCTAAATGTAAGACCAGAAACTATAAAACTCCTAGAGGAGAACATAGGCAAAACACTCTCCGACATAAATCACAGCAGGATCCTCTATGACCCACATCCCAGAATTTTAGAAATAAAAGCAAAAATAAACAAATGGGACCTAATGAAACTTAAAAGCTTTTGCACAACAAAGGAAACTATAAGCAAGGTGAAAAGACAGCCCTCAGATTGGGAGAAAATAATAGCAAACGAAGCAACAGACAAAGGATTAATCTCAAAAATATACAAGCAACTCCTGCAGCTCAACTCCAGAAAAATAAATGACCCAATCAAAAAATGGGCCAAAGAACTGAACAGACATTTCTCCAAGGAAGACATACAGATGGCTAACAAACACATGAAAAGATGCTCAACATCACTCATTATCAGAGAAATGCAAATCAAAAGCACAATGAGGTACCATTACACACCAGTCAGGATGGCTGCTATCCAAAAGTCTACAAGCAATAAATGCTGGAGAGGGTGTGGAGAAAAGGGAACCCTCTTACACTGTTGGTGGGAATGCAAATTAGTACAGCCACTATGGAAAACAGTGTGGAGATTTCTTAAAAAGCTGGAAATAGAACTGCCATATGACCCAGCAATCCCACTTCTGGGCATACACACCGAGGAAACCAGATCTGAAAGAGACACGTGCACCCCAATGTTCATCGCAGCACTGTTTATAATAGCCAGGACATGGAAGCAACCTAGATGCCCATCAGCAGACGAATGGATGAGGAAGCTGTGGTACATATACACCATGGAATATTACTCAGCCATTAAAAAGAATTCATTTGAATCAGTTCTAATGAGATGGATGAAACTGGAGCCCATTATACAGAGCGAAGTAAGCCAGAAAGATAAAGACCATTACTGTATACTAACACATATATATGGAATTTAGAAAGATGGTAACAATAACCCTATATGCAAAACAGAAAAAGAGACTCCGATGTATAGAACAGACTTGTGGACTCTGGGAGAAGGCAAGGGTGCGATGTTTCAAGAGAACAGCATCGAAACACGTATATTATCTAGGGTGAAACAGATCACCAGCCCAGGTTGGGTGCATGAGACAAGTGCTCGGGCCTGGTGCACTGGGAAGACCCAGAGGGATTGGGTGGAGAGGGAGGTGGGAGAGGGGACCGGGATGGGGAATACATGTAAATCCATGGCTAATTCATTTCAATGTATGACAAAAACCATTGCAATGATGTAAAGTAATTAGCCTCCAACTAATAAAAATAAATGAAAAAATATATATAAAAAAAAAAAGAAATTATTTATCTGACAAGGGACTCACACCCCAAATATACAAGGAATTCTTACCACTCAATAATAAAGACAAATAATCCAATTTTTTAAAGGGCAAAGGATCTGAATAAACATTTCTCCAAAGGAGATGTAATAATATGCAGTGGCTAATAAGTGCATTGAAGAATACTCAACATCATTAGTCATTAGGGAAACACAAATAAAAACAATAGTGAGGTACCACTTCACATCCACTAGGATGGCTATAATTTAAAAAGGACAGTAAGATTGTTGTTGAAGATAGGGAGATAGGAAACTTATACACTGCTGGTGGAAATGTAAAATGGTGTAGTCACTTGAAAAACAATTTGGCAATTCTTAAAAGTCTAAACATAGAATTGCTATTTGACCCAGCAATTCTACTATGAGGCATATACCCAAGAGAAATAAAAATATATGCTCATACAAAAATTTGTACACAAAAGAATTCATAACAGAACTACTCATAATAACCAAAGGTGAAAACTACCCAAATGTTCACCAACTGTTAAATGGTATATTTATATAATGGAATATTATTCAACCATAAAAAGAGTAAAGTACTTATCACAAGTGGTAAAGAACCCACCTGCCAATGTAGGAGATGTAAGAGACGTGGGTTCAATCCCAGGATCAGGAAGATCCCCTGGAGGAGGGCAGGGCAACCCACTCCAGTATTTTTGCCTGAAAAATCCCATGGACAGAGGAGCCTGGCGGGCTACAGTACATGGGATCGCAAAGAGTTGGACACGACTAAGCATGCACACACACACACCACATAGGCTGTTATCACAGAAGTAGCTGGGATTTGCTAAGCATCACATGGCTGGGGCTTCTGAGCTCACATCTTGAGCACAGTGCTCTGCATCAACTTGCTTTTGCAACAACAGTATCTCTATAGAATGTTTCCTCCAACGCCAAGGCCACCACCACTACTAGTACCCCCCAAGCCCTCCTGCTTTTTAGTCCTTTTTCTTTTCTCAATAACACAGTAAGTGTGCTGGTCCAAAGTTTTTTTAAAAAAAACTGGGCTTACAGCTTGTTTTTAAGAGCTTCTGACTGCTGCTGTTTTCAGCAGTGTGTTTTCCAACGGATTCCGACCACTCACTAGAGCACCTGGCCTATTCTGTAGAGCTGTAGAGCCTCAGTTGTATATGTGTCTGTGCTCAGAAAGTGAGGGTAACAGACAACCATGGTGCTCAAAGTAATGGATGGCTGGATGCATCGCTGACTCAATGGACACCAGTCTGAACAAACTTCCCTAAAGACAGGGAAGCCTGGCATGCTGCAGTCCCTGGGGTTGCAAAGAGTTGGACATGACTTAGTGACTGAATGACAACAACCAAGTGATAGAAGACAAAAGCACTTCAGTAGGAATTCCACATATTTATTTCATCGCATGTCATCTTAAATTTACAATTAATGGTGGGCTACTTAAACTTCCATTGTATATGTATGTGTGTGTGTGCGTGTTTCATGGATAAGTGAGCACCTGTTATCTGTTTGGGGCCTGTCACTAGTAACACATGTGTCTGTTTTATTAGTAAATACCTGAAAATGGTCAACATATGAAAAGGTGAAAACTATCCAAATGTTCATCAACTGTTAAATGGCATATTTATATAATGGGATATTATTCAACCATAAAAAGAGTGAAGTACTGAACGCTAGTAGTAAAGAACCCACCTGCCAATACAGGAGACGTAAGAGATGTCTCTTTTAATTTGTACAAATAGACACATTCTTTTCTTGATTTCACATTTTAGAATCCAAATCCACCAGTTCCTTAAAGTATTATTAAGTTCTCCCAGCTTCTGCAGATTGTAGTCCAACAGACTGGAACTTCCAACACAAAACAATTGATTGAAAGATAAAAAATGATGAATATTTGTGGATCTTCCTTATAAAGGACAGTGGACCACACTGAAGTCTCAGTGAGACACAGCACAAGAAAAGTCAAATGGAGCTCCTGAAGTTAGTATTTCTAATTCTGATAAGCTCAGTCTGACATTTGTAAGGCAGAAGGCAGAGGACTGATGGGCTTTCTTCTAGCAATCTATGTGGCCAGCAGAGAGCCGAGATGGTACGTGTCAATTCTGTGTGCTTTCTACCTCAGTGTTCAATAAAACTAACAACAGAAGAGATAAATATTAATTCTTGAACATAGTTGACAGAAGCCTTTAAAAGTCATGTCCCTTTCCCCTCATGCCCCCTAAAAACAGCAACAAAAAGTCTACTTTCCTGATTGGGCATGTTTGGTAGAGACAAGCCATGTGAGATTTTTACCAAGGACTTCATACAGTGATTGAACATTTTTGAAACAAAATTGTGCTCCCCCAAGTGTGTGTATGTCTTTTTCTTTTTTAAACAATAGTTTCTTCTTAGGGCAGAACTGGTTTCACAGTAGTAAATGTGATTTGAGAGAGATGCAGGAAAACTAAGAATGCTACTAAAAGTATCACATAGATTGGCTCAGAATGACACTGTAGGTAGTATTGAATGATTCAGGCCCAAACTTAATTATGTGAGGTTTTTCATCACGTTTTACAAAACTCTTAAATACAGGTAAATATGTAAACACTGTGCTCTCAGAGAGCAATACTTAGGCGTGTCACATCGTATCCCTTCCGGCGAGATGGAGTCTAGTGAAACAGCCCCCATCAGTTTCAAAACCAACCACTGGAACTACTCTCTGGTTGAGGAGCAAACACCGCCTTGCACATGTCAGAGTTCTCTTGGTGCAGCGGGAATTCACATCCTCCTATTAGGCTTTCTTTTCTCTTCCGAGAAACATAACCTCTGCCTGTAGACAGCCTTTCATATTTTGTCTCAAATTGCCTGCATAACAACAATAATAACAAAATCACACACATATTAAAGTCACACCACACCCATCAGAGCCCAGTTATTGAATGAACACTTCAAGCTTCTGAGTCAAAACCATTTGAGAAAGGACGTTAGTACCAAAGCTTTCATTTCCATGAGTGGGGTGATTTTTTTTCTTCCCATTTCTTTTCCCACTAACAGATACACTTCACAGGCCTGGGATATGAGAGTCCTGCCACTCATTTTTCTGGAATGAAGGACCAAATGCCTCTCAGATTTTTGGAGATGCTGCTAAGCTTTGTAGGCTTTGCTATGTCCCCCATCCCTCATTCCAGGGGCCCTGCCTTTGGGGGTACTCCCCTTTCAGTAAGGAGCAAATCCACCCCTTTCAGTAAGGAGCAAATCCATCTGGGTTTAAGCCAACAATGCTGACAGGGAAACACCCCCAGAGCTCTGGGCCAAGTGAACTGTGGAACCAGATCAGTTAGCCTTGTGCCTGGGCTGCTGGTCACTGCAGTTTGACCACGGGAAGATTGATTTTCTTTTTAATGTGTTAATGGAGGTTTATTCTAGATGTATGTGTGTGTGTGTGTGTGTGTGTGTGAGTGAGTCGCTCATTCATGTCCAACTCTTTGTGATCCCACGGACTGTAGCCCACCAGGCTCCTCTGACCATTGGATTTTCCAGGCAAGAATACTAGAGAGGGTAGCCTTTCCCTTCTCCAGGGGATCTTCCTGACCCAGGGATTGAAACCAGGTCTACTGCATCGGCAGGAGGATTCTTTATCATCTGAGCCACCAGGGAAGTCCATGCTAGACATAAGTTAATATAAGTTAGCAACTGCTTAATAGCCTCAGAGAAGCTTCCCTGGTAGCTCAGATGGTAAAGAATCTGCCTGTAATGCAAAAGACCTGGGTTTGATCCCTGGGTTGGGAAGATCCCCAGGAGAAGGCAATGTCAACCCATTCCAGTGTTCTTGCCTGGAGAATTCCACGGACAGCGGAGCCTGGCAGGCTAAAGTTCATGGGGTCACAAAGAGTTTAACACAACTGAGAGACTGAGCATGCACACACAAGTACTCTAATAAAAGCATGTTTTTTAAAGTTCAAAATCCCCAACACTTAACCTTGAGCCAAAACTTAAACCAGGTCAAGCTGCTGTTATACAGATTACATAAAACTTGTGAACTCATTTGGGCTTTTAAGCCATGGTAAATGATTGTCAGATGTTCTGTTTTGAGCTTTCTATCCAAGAGAAAATTGTGTAAACAGCTGATAGTAAACATGCATCTAGTGTTTTTGCTGAAACTATGTGGAAACTTATACTAAATCAAATCTCTTTGTTGCCTTGATAAATTATTTCTGGGCTAGAACATGATAGTATCTCCAGAATCAAATGAACTTGTCATTATAGTTTCTTGGAATGCTAGAAACTGACATTGTTTTTTTAGTCTTATCGATTATTCTTTACTCATTTAAAGAAAATTCATGTCTCACTGGGTTTTACCATTTTCCTTTAATTTCTGTGGAATGCTCAAAATTGGGTGCAAGCTCCTGGTGAACTCTAGATGGCCCTGGAACATTCCATAAGTCCTGTTTCTTACCTGTATGGAACATCTTCCTTGTCCATCTGCAGACAAACTAAAAATGGATACTGAGAAAACTGCACCGTGGAGATAAACTCCAAGCCTGCTTCTGTTTCTGCACCAATTTCCAAGCCAGCTTTCACAAAAGAGGAGTCCACCGTGATGTCACCAGTTATTAACACACTTACCCTAAAAATTGAGCAAAATAATCCATGAATCACATTTAATTGAGCTGAACTAACAGACCATGGGGTCTGAATTTCTGACATTGATAACTGGAAAGGGACTAAGAGGTGACCTAAATTTGCTTAGAATTCTGGATAGTTCTAGGAATTGGGCAGTGAAAATTTGCCTTACCTCTGAGTCCTCTCCCAGCCTTCAGTTCTAAATGTGGTAATGAAATGTCTATCTGGCATTAATGTTTGATATGGGCATACCAAGAGCCAAGAGGAAAAGATGCCTGGGATCTGGTCCTTTCAGAAAGTCAGAAATACCTGTTTATCTTAAAATCTAAGCTCACCCAGAAGACAGCTGATGTTTACAACAATTTTCTTGGTAATGATCTCTCTTTTGGCTTCTATGTAGCTATTTTAATTCATTTTATTACTTTCTCTAAAAGGTCTTTGGTGACAGAAGTCTATGGTTGCCAAGATATTTTAAAAAAATACAGTATCATGAAGAACAATTCCTACAGCATGTACATTGCATGCCTCAGAAAGGACAGATATCATAGGTTCTCCAACGATCACAGACTGGACTGAGTGGGATAAAGGCTGGGAGGAAAATGAAGAGGATAAGCAATTCTAGTAGAAGGCTTACTTCTAGGACCACTTTAATTTAACTGCAGACTTCAGATGAAATCTGAGTTGTATGTTATGCTCTTTTGATAGACGTACTAATGTTTGCTGTCCTACTCACAGCACACTTGCTGCCATTGCCAGTGAAAAGTAAGTCAGAGGTGGTATCATTTAAATCTCTGAATCCAAAAGGGAACCCTCTTACAATGTTGGTGGGAATGCAAACTAGTATAGCCACTATGGAGAACAGTGTGGAGAGTCCTTAAAAAACTGGAAATAGAACTGCCATATGACCCAGCAATCCCACTGCTGGGCATACACACTGAGGAAATCAGAATTGAAAGAGACACGTGTACCCCAACCTTCATTGCAGCACTGTTTATAATAGCCAGGACATGGAAGCAACCTAGATGTCCATCGGCAGATGAATGGATAAGAAAACTGTAGTATATAGACACAATGGAATATTACTCAGCCATTAAAAAGAACACATTTGAATCAGTTCTAATGAGGTGGATGAAACTGGAGCCTATTATACAGAGTGAAGTAAGTCAGAAAGAAAAATACCAACACAGTATACTAATGCATATATATGGAATTTAGAAAGATGGTACCAATAACCCTATATGTGAAATAGCAAAAGAGACACAGATGTATTGAACAGTCTTTTGGACTCTGTGGGAGAAGGCGAGGGTGGGATGATCTGAGAGAATAGCATCGAAACAGGTATATTATCATATGTGAAACAGATCTCCAGTCCAGGTTCTATGCATGAGACAGGGTGTTCAGGGCTGAACACCATCCCAGAGGGATGGGATGGGGAGGGAGGTGGGAGGGGGGTTCAGGATGGGGAACACAGGTACACCCATGGCTGGCTCATGTCAATGTATGGCAAAAACCACTACAATATTGTAAAGTAATTAGCCTCCAATTAAAATAAGTTTAAAAAAAATAAATCCCTGAATCCTTTACCATAGCTTCTCACATCTTACACTCAACAAAGGCTTAGATCATCTTTAAATGAGCAAATGGAAAATTGAAGATGAATTGGCTATAATGTAGACACTGGTAGACACTTAGTGATACTGTGTCCCTTTCAAAGAGCCAGATTTTTTTTTTTTTTTGGCATTGCTGTTGTTGACTTCCTTCTGCAAATAATTCAATTCAGTTTAACTTGGGAAAACTTCTATCCAGAAAATACATCAGAAAGAGGTGAAAGATGACTGATTTGGGGGGAATCCCTAAATTACATTGCTTATCCTTCTGAAAGCTTCTCCCATTTCTCATTCTTTGGTTCCTTTTAGTAACCCTGAGCATCATCTTTCATATTAAGTGTGCTACCTTTTGATTTTTCTCAATTCTTTCATCCATTATTCAAAATAAAATTTAAAAATCTAATTTTAGCTCTCCTATCTCACTTCTGCCCCACTGTGTTTTTAAATATCCAAAAATGTAAAAATTAATTTCATTTTCATTTTATTTTCTTCAATACTATAACAAACAGAAGAATTATCCTTTTGATTATAATTCTGGTTCAAAGATGCTTTAAGGTCAAAATAAAATGCTTTTGTTTGATCTGATGGGTAAATTTAAAAAGCTAAAGGACCTGAGAAAATTCTGTTTAGAAAAATGAACACTGATAAATACACTTAAAGGACTCAGAACATTTAAGACTTAGATTCTGCACAAAAGTGATCATCTTTATTTCTCCACTGAACACAGCAAAACAAGAAAGATTTTAAATCTCAACAAGAGGGATAAGCTAAAATAATTTGCTTAAAAGTAAAGCTTTATGACAGCATTCTCAACTACTAAAGTGGAATATTTTATCACCCTGCTTGTTTCATGACTGTAGCCATGAAATTAAAAGACACTTGCTCCTTGGAAGAAAAGCTATGACCAACCTAGACAGCATATTAAAAAGCAAAATAAAGGTCTGTCTAGTTAAAGCTATGGTTTTTCCAGTAGTCATGTATTGATGTGAGTTGGACCATAAAGAAAGCTGAGCACTGAAGAATTGATGCTTTTAAACTGTGGTATTGGAGGAGACTCTTGAGAGTCCCTTGGACTGCAAGGAGATCAAACCAGTCAATCCTAAAGGAAATCAGTCCTGAATATTCATTGGAAGGACTGATGCTGAAGCTCCAATACTTTGTCCCTCTTTTGTGAAGAACTGACTCCTTGGAAAAGACCCCGATTCTGGGATAGACTGAAGGCAGGAGGAGAAGGGGATGACAGAGGATGAGATAGTTGGATTGCAACACCGACTCAATGGACGTGAGTTTGAGCAATCTCCAGGAGTTGGTGATGGACAGGGAAGTCTGGCGTCCCGCAATCCATGGGGTCTCAAAGAGTCAGGCATTACTGAGCGACTGAACTAAACTGAAAGTGGAATACCAAGAGAAGATGGATGTCTCACCGACTGGGCAAGCTGTCCATGGATGTCTTTAAAAGCAAAAAGATCCTTCTCTAAGTTGTATTAGATACCTACCTGCTCATAAGGATCTATGGTAAGAATGACTTCCCATGGTTACTCCCCGCTCTATGATTTAATGATTACAAATAGAAAGCATAGAATTTGAGATGTTGGAAGGTTAAAGAATTCCAAAAACATATCTCTGCATATAGAGAACAGTCTTGTGGTTGCCAAGAGGGAGTGGGGTGGGGAAGGGAAAGATTGGGAGTTTGCTATTAGAAGTTGTAAACTATTATATATAGAATGGATAAATAACAAGGTCCTACTGTATAGCACAGGGAACTATATTCAATTTTCTATGATAAACCATAATGGAAAAGAATATGAAAAGGAACATATATATGTATCAATAAAACTGAATAATTTTGCTGTACAGCAGAAATTAACATTGTAAATCAACTATACTCCAATAAAATTAGAAAAGAAACCTCTGTGGTTCTTCTCATAGAGTACTATACATATGCTTACCGATTTTTCACTCGGGTTTTAGATTCACGATACCATAGACTAAACTCCATGGCACCTGTGATATCAATAGCTAGACCACCCTGGACATCCATGTTGGCCTTAAGTCCAGATTGCAGCTGAAGCTCCTAGAAACAAAAGTATGTGATAACAGTTAGAAGGAGAAAGGGAAGGAAGAAGAGGGGGAAGGGGAAAGTGAAGGGAGAGGGGGAGGAGAAACAGCAGCACAATTTAGCCAGCCCCTTCTAACAGCACGCTCCTCCTGTGATACCACTGGAGTTGTGTTAATGATGAAGTTTTCCTCTAGGCTGGGAAACACATTCTAATCTTGATCACTGGAAGTAGATTACTGATATGCTACATTATTTAATGAATTAAAATACTGAAGAAGTAAAGTGTCAGTTGAGATGGGTGCTTTCTCTCAATCTTTGCCTCACTTTGGGAGGAATACGGTTCTCAAAGTGTGGTTCTCTGATGAGTAACAGGAGCATCCATGGAACATGTTAGGAATGCAAGCTCCCTATCTACTGAATTAGAAACTCTGAGGGTGGTGCCCAGGGATCTGTGTTTTAACAAGCCCTCATGTGATTCTGATGCACCCAAATTTGAGAGCCAACAGACTAGAAAAAATGAAGCCATCTCCTTTGGAAATCCAGCATTGGCTTTGGGGTGGGGATAAGGGCTGGGATAAATGATTTCCAGAAGTCCTTTAGCCCTTCTATAGTTATGTGCTGTGTCGAATAAAGTAAACTGCGTCTTGCTGGCAAATGTAAGGAAAGATAAAAACTGCTGGTGCCGTATACAAATTCTACAAATTGCCTAGGAAAGGAAAGCTGGGAAAGAAAGGCAGGGTAACTTAACTAAGCTTTAATACCCTACTGTTTGACGTTTGGAATGACATCAATATAACAAAAACGATCAACATGAACCCCATAGCATATTCCAGAGCGATAGTAATCATGTACAAACATAGTCCATCCTCAGCAACTTTGTAGTTGTCTGAAGCCCATTGTTTTATACTGATTGCCAGCATATACCTTTTAAGTCTTGCAATTTCTGTGTACACTAGACGGGGTGATGTTGGCTGAAAACTTCTTCAGCAGGGTTGGAATCAGATTGCCCGGGGACAATGTTGGAAATGCAACAGTTCTGCGAAAAAGGCTCAGTACCCTTAATTTTTATATTCCTCCAAAGATCTTAGGTTCATGGCAACTGGCAGCATGACTAATTTCTTTATGTGACTGCCCTACTCAGACCAAACAAACCATGCTTTCATCAACCATTAACACTGCAATTTTAATTTCTAGAGAGGATTGTGTTGGTCATTGATCTCCCTGGATTTTCTCCAACTTTCCAAAAAGAGTGGCAAGAATCTCAGTCATAGAACCTGGTTTACTAAAAAAGTCTGATGGTGGCATGAAACTACCTTCGGTCTGAAAGACATTCAGATGAAAACATGAGATTCTTGATGCAGAGCTCAGGACACATTAGGAGACAGCCCTAAGGATACCTACTACTACATTAAGTCTAGAACAAAATGTGGTTGTGGGAGGATGCAGGGGTTGTCTCAGGCATCACAACTAGTATAGAGGAACACAAATTATCCTGAAAAAACCCAAATGAGCATGTTCAAATTGTAACCCATGCCTATGAACTGCAGAACCAAGATACAAATTCTACATTTGTACCATGATGGTGACTGCTTCCAAATGGGCCCTACTGTGTGCCCTGCCTCAGAAGTATTTCTTTCTTTAGATCACATTCTATGTTCCCAGTTTGAAAGCTATAATCTTGTTAGTCCACCCAACTCATCAGAGGTCTATGATGTAGACTTTGGTTTTACCACTGACCATACATTACGTGGGTGTCAAAACACACCAAGCACCATGGGAAAGAACATTTCACGGCTATTAGACAATGTGCCTTTTGTAGGGAGAGAGCATTTCTACTGCAGTGTGGGTTTTGAGGAGAGCCTTGGCTTTCTGGGAAAATACCATCTCTCACGCAAAGGGATCAAAGAAGAATTCTTACGTATAATCACAGAGGAATATGTTCAGGATAGACCACTGACCCCAGTAGAAGGACAAACCACTCTTTCCTTCATGAAAGGGACTAAATCACACAGCACAGTGGTTCTAATTTTTGAGGGATGTAAAATAAGCAAAACGAATGGTTTTTTAATATCTATTGTGCCCCTTGAAGCTCTGTATTTTGTATCTCACTTAATTTCCATTCAAATCTTCCATGGTTGGCATTATATCGGAAGACTGAAAAGAAAAATGAGGCTTGGAGGCTACCTGTGCAGCTAGACTGAATATCCAGATGGTCTCTAGTGGGGAGACTTTTCTACTACCATACATGACTGTCACAAAATCATAACTCTCACTTGTCTCCTACTGTGCAAGGAGGCCTGTTCTAAGAAATATTGCAAAAAAAGATGAGGTACAGGCTTATGGGTTTCCCTGGTGGCTCAGTGGTAAAGCACCCGCCTGCCAAGGCAGAAGACTTGGGTTCAATCTCTGGGTCAGGAAGACCCCTTGGAGTAGGCAATGGTGAACTACTCCAGTATTCTTGCCTGGGAAACCCCATGGACTGAGAAGCCTGGTGGGCTACAGACCATGGCATCACAAAAGAATCGGACACAATTTAGTGACTAAAACAGCAATAGGTTTATGTCCTGTGTGACTCAGAGAGCATATTTAATTCTCATCCATGAACTAGAAGAACAAGATACTGGAACTTTGTATTTGTAGCTAATGGGACCCCTTTGATCTTTTACTTTTGGTCCTAAAGGTGTCCCTTATAGCTCAGACACCCATATTTTGACAACTCATCCCATTGCTTCCATTCAGGAAAGTTTGTTCTTTGCTGGCTAAAGAGGATCCCCCTATTAATCTGACTTTATCAAACATCCTTCTCTGAGGAGTAATCCAATTAGCCAAAAGGGAGACAGAGAGAGAGAAAGTACAGGGTAATTCCATCTGCCCTGGTGGCTGTGACAGTCCCTCCACTGCCAAAATTTCCTTCAATGTCAGCACTTGACCTAGAGTGGTATGTGCCTCTCAAGCTGGAATTGCATTACTGGAGTACTCTGCAGAGCCAGGGAGACTCAAATGGCTCATTTCTATAATAAATTGAGATCTGCCAAATACTTCAATTTAAAATACACTGCCACTGGGCTATGTTTCATAGCTAAGTGAAGATCTTTCTCCTAGAATATGTCTGTGGTGCCCTAACTTAATTAATTTAAAAAAAATACAATAACTTAATCACTTTGCTGTATGGTAGAAACTTACACAACATTTTAAACCAACTATGCTTCAATAAAAAATTGTTTAAAAAAAAGAAAAACCAAAAAAAATAAAAATAAAAATAGAAAAACCATAAAGATAATCTAGATCAGGGGTTGGCAACTATGGACTGCAGGCAGACCTGGCCCACTGACTACTTTTGTAAATAAAATTTTATTGGAACACTGTCGCACTCCTATGTTAATATATCATTTATAGCTATTGTCACTCTACAATGACAGAGACCATATGTGTCACTGAGCCTGAACTATTTACTTCTTGCCCTTTACATAAATTGTTTCCCAACCCTGGTCTAGATTAGTATTTATGTTTGCATCAAGTTTCTGATTCAGACATTAAGCATTGTTGATAGGAAGGTGAGTACATATAGACCATACTGAACTGTTATTATTCCTGCATCTTAAATTGTGGACTACTTTCTCAGCATGCTTAGGACTTCTTCAGTCCTTAGTGGAGATGGAGAAGGCAATCATTAAGAATGCATTTCCCCAGCACTTCCCTGGTGGTCCAGTGGTTAAGAACCCACCTTGCAATGCTGGGGACACTGGTTTGATCTCTGGTCTGGGAAAATCCCATGAGCCCCAACTACTGAGCCCACATTCTGCCATTGCTGACGTCTGTGTGCCTAGTCTTCTGCACTCCGCAACAAGAGAAGCCACCACAGTGAGAGGCCCGCACACCTAGAGAAAGCCCATGTTCAGCAACGAAGACCCACCACAGCCCCCTAACTGAAAAAAAAGATGCATCCCCCAGAGGAAACACTTTAGTGAAAAGGTGCAGTGTAATGATGTGCAGTTCTCTGATTAATTTGAGAACAATTTTTCATGTGTGATTCTGAGAATTAATGGTTATTAGAGGCATCGCTGGTTTCCTTCTTTTTATTCATAGTAACAGAAACAAAGTTTTGTTCAGAGTGTCAGTACAACAACCAAAAAACTACATTTACCAGCTTCTCTTGCAGCTAGAGAGAGCCATGTGACACAGTTTTGGTCACAACAAAGGACTTCCATTTGCAGATGCTTTTCTTTTTTAGAAATAGATAGGGCTTGTAGGATGGTTCTTGAAAAGAGTCAGACTCTGATGCCCCTTACCCTTCGCTCTTCCTTCCTGGAATGAGAAATTAGTTCTGGAAGTACAACAGCCATCTGAGAATCACGAGGTGGCAAAATGAGGTTAAAAGCCACAAGTAAATATGGAAAAGGAGCCTGCATCCTAATAATACATAGGGTTGCCATATCAACCCTGGACTATCTACTTCTATATATCTTTTACATGATAAAAATCAAACTATTTGGTCAAGCTACCCTAAATTATTTTTTGTTGTTGTTATACATAGCTATCCTGAATTGTTATCAAGAATAATAAAGAAAGGGAATTAATTTCTAGTTGCAACCAATGATGATTGGGTGGATTTTTAGTAAATCTGATACTTCAGGTCACTTACAGATCTTAAAATCTTTGATTTCATAAGCAAAACCCAACAGATCAAAGTCCTCGAGTTATCCAGCAAAGAACAAAACTAATAAAAACTTAGAATCATCTGTTCCAAATATCTCACTTTATGTGTAGGAATTCCTGGTATAAAGCTATGAAGTAACTGCCCAAGAGTACACAGGACGTAACTCAGTTCAATTCAGTTCAGTTCAGTCGCTCAGTCATGTCCAACTCTTTGTGACCCCATGGACTGCAGCACACCAGTCTTCCCTCTCCATCTGCAACTCCCAGAGTTTACTCAAACTCATGTCCATCAGGTCAGTGATGCCATCCAATCATCTCATCCTCTGTCATCCCCTCTCCTCCTGCCTTCAAACTTTCCCAGCATCAGGGTCTTTTCAAATGAGTCAGTTCTTCACATCAGGTGGCCAAAGAATTGTAGTTTCAGCTTTAGCATTAATCCTTCCAATGAATATTCAGGACTGATTTTCTTTAGGATGGACTGGTTGGATCTCCTTGCAGTCCAAGGGACTTTTGAGAGTCTTCTCCAACACCACAATTCAAAAGCATCAATTCTTTGGTGCTCAGCTTTCTTTATAGTCCAACTCTCACCCCCATACACGACTACTGGAAAAACCATAGCTTTGACTACATGGACCCTTGTTGGCAAAGGAATGTCTCTGCTTTTTAATATGCTGTCTAGGTTGGTCATAACTTTCATTCCAATGAGTAATCGTCTTTTAATTTTATGGTTGTAGTCACCATCTGCAGTGATTTTGACATTATTTTGCAGTGACTTTATTTTGCCCCCCAAAAATAAAGTCTGTCACTGTTTCCACTGTTTCCCCATCTATTTGCCATGAAGTGATGGGACCAGGTGCCATGATCTTAGTTTTCTGAATGCTGAGTTTTAAGCCAACTTTTTCACTCTTCTCTTTCACTTTCATCAAGAGGCTCTTTACTTCTTCTTTGCTGTCTGCCGTAAGGGTGGCATCATCTGCGTATCTGAGGTAATTGATATTTCTCCTGGCAATCTTGATTCCAGCTTGTGCTTCCTCCAGCCCAGCGTTTCTCATGATGTACTTGCATATAAGTTAAGTGAGCAGGGTGACAATATACAACTTTGACATACTCCTTTCCCTATATAGAACCAGTCTGTTGTTCCATGTCCAGTTCTAACTGTTGCTTCTTGACCTGCACACAGATTTCTCATGAGGCAGGTAAGATGGTCTGGTATTCCTATCTCTTTCAGAATTTTCCACAGTTTATTGTGATCCACACAGTCAAAGGCTTTGGCATAGTCAATAAAGCAGAAGTAGGTGTTTTTCTGGAACTCTCTTGCTTTTTTGATGATCCAGCGGATGGTGGCAATTTGATCTCTGGTTCCTCTGCCTTTTTTAAAACCAGCATGAACATCTGGAAGTTCATAGTTCACATACTGTTGAAGGCTGGCTTGAAGAATTTTGAGCATTACTTTGCTAGCATGTGAGATGAGTGCAACTGTGCAGTAGTTTGAGCATTCTTTGGCATTGCCTTTCTTAGGGATTGGAATGAAAACTGAACTTTTCCAGTCCTGTGGCCACTGCTGAGTTGTCCAAATTTGCCAGCATATTGAGTGCAGCACTTTCACAGCATCATCTTTTACAATTTTAAAGAGCTCAGCTGGAATTCCATCACCTCTATTAGCTTTGTTTGTAGTGATGCTTCCAAAGGCCCACTTGACTTCACATTCCAGGATGTCTGGCTGTAGGTGAGTGATCACATCTTCATGATTATCTGGGTCATGAAGATCTTTTTTGTATAGTTCTTCTGTGTATTCTTGCCACTTCTTCCTAATATCTTCTGCTTCTGTTAGGTCCATACCATTTCTGTCCTTTATCGTGCCCATCTTTGCATGAAATTTTCCCTTGGTATCTCTGATTTTCTTGAAGAGATCTCTAGTCTTTCCCATTCTACTGTTTTCCTCTATTTGTTTGCATTGATTGCTGAGGAAGTCTTTCTTATCTCTCCTTGCTGTTCTTTGGAACTCTGCATTCAAATCGGAATATCTTTCCTTTTCTCCTTTGCCTTTCACTTCTCTTCTTTTCACAGCTATTTATAAGGCCTCCTCAGACAACCATTTTGCCTTTTTGCATTTCTTTTTCTTGGGGATGGTCTTGATCACTGCCTTCTGTACAATTTCACAAATCTCCGTCCATAATTCTTCAGGTACTCTATCAGATCTAATCCCTTGAATCTATTTCTCACTTCCACTGTATAATCATAAGGGATTTGATTTAGGTCATACCTAAATGATCTAGTGGTTTTCCCTATTTTCTTCAATTTAAGTCTGAATTTGGCAATAAGGAGTTCATGATCTGAGCCACAGTCCACTCCCAGTCTTGTTTTTGCTGACTGTATAGTGCTTCTCCATCTTTGGCTGCAAAGAATATAATCAATCTGATTTCGGTGTTGACCATCTGGTGATGTCCATGTGTAGAGCCTTCTCTTGTGTTGTTAGAAGAGGGTGTTTGCTATGACCAGTGCGTTCTTTTGGCAAAACTCTATTACCCTTTGCCCTGCTTCTTTCTGCACTCCAAGGCCAAATTTGCCTGTTACTTCAGGTATTTCTTGACTTCCTAGTTTTGCATTCCAGCCCCCTATAATGAAAAGGACATCTTTTTTGGGTGTTAGTTCTAAAAGGTCTTGTAGGTCTTCATAGAACCATTCAACTTCAGCTTCTTCAGCAGTACTGGTTGGGGCATAGACTTGGATTACTGTGATATTGAATGGTTTGCCTTGGAAACAAACAGATCATTCTGTTGTTTTTGAGATTTCATCCAAGTACTGCATTTTGGACTCTTTTGTTGACTATGATGGCTACTCCATATCTTCTAAGGGATTCTTGCCCACAGTAGTAGATATAATGGTTATCTGAGTTAAATTTGCCCATTCCAGAAGGTAAATAGTGGAGGCAAAAGTCAAACCTAGGCTATTACTTCTGAATAAACCACAAAAGCAAACTTCCCCAGAAAGTCCTATAGTCTGTACCTTTTAATCCAATCTCCTCATACATCTTCAACATGAAAAATACAAGCTAGAGTGCAAGTAATCACTTTAAGGATTTTTCATAAGATCTTCTTTTTTAGCAAATATTCCACTTTTATGTTGCTATGCTTAGTAAGGCAGGAAATGTCAAGTCATTAAAGAAAAAACAAATTAAGCATCAAACACACTCAAACTCAAAGGTTATTCAGATTAACCCTCTTCTGTTTCTGAGAAAATTCCATGAGGCAGATCACTCACACCCTACAGTAATCTGGTCACCTAAATCTTACCACACAAAATATACTATTGTCATATCTTAGTACAGTAATGTAAGATTTAGGAGTGAAGAAAATTGAAGACTATTCTGAAGAATGCAGGTCAAGTGAATGAAAGTTCTCTTATTCTTTAACAATGAATGGACCTTTGTAAGGTTCTGTGAACATGAGAATGTGGGGCAAAGAGTGTCCATTAAACATGTGGTTGGTGTCAGTGATTGCTTGTGCCTCTACAGATATGGCAGGGATGATGCACTACTTGAATCTTTACCACTGTCGTCATGTTAAACGTCATCAGTAACTTATGAAGCCTTGCAGTTCAGAGCTTGTGTTCAGAAAAAAATATCATGTAAGTACACAAGAAAGCCAAATGAAAGAAATAAGGCCATCACTCCTCTGTTGAATCCTAAGTTATTTTCTCCATGGTTTCTTTTTTCTGGTCACATCAGTTTCCTTCCCCCACTTTTAGTTTTACTGAGATATAAATGACATTATATTATACTCATGTTGAGTAGTTCCTCTTTTGCCTCAACAGTGAGAAGACATCTTAATCAGATAACATAGGCAAAATAAAACCCATTTTCCTGTAGGGAAGGAGAAAGGGCAATAATGCCAAGAGAGTCGAATGCTTAGAATGTGAGCCCCAAGGTGAGTGGAACTTTATCTTGTATCCTCCATGTGTATGAAGTGTGACTAGTATATTCAATATTCACGTGCAGACTGAATTACCTGGGAATGATCTATTAGCAGAAGAAGTCCTTTCACCACACTCATAGGGTCGCTAGAGGCTGACAGCATTTTAGACATCAAATCACTGTATCCGTTGAAAAAAGTGACAGGTCTGAGCTGAACATCAAAGAGGAGAGCTGACAAGCCAGCATAGGAGTCAAGGTTCTCTTCCCCCTCATCAGGAGTGGCTGCAATTAATGCCTCCAGTCCTTGGGCTTCAATGACCACCTAGGGAAAACGGATATAGCGTTCATGACATTAGTTCCCTGCCTGTTCTGTATGAGAGGAAGAGCTACACCTACAACTTTCCTGGGGTTCCAAAAGTTGCCTGCAGCTGCAAAAAATAGGCAAAAAATAAAACAAAAATAGCTCTGTGCCTGAATATGAGTTTGTTTTCTTCATTTAATTCTCACAGCCACACTTGGAGGTACGTGTGATTGTATCCATTTTGTTGATGAGCCTGAAAAAAAACTCAGATGGTAGAGATAGGTCTCAAACTTCTTCTGTCTGACTGCCAAGAACATGAACAGTCCATTTAATGGCGTCATCCTAGAGATACAGCCTCTGCAGAATTGTCATACATAGTGGATTACCTGTCTTGAGGAGCCTCTAAAAATGAGGTGGAGAGATGTTGGCACAGTTGGCCCAAGTCTGTGCTATGAGAGGATGTGCAACTCTCTAAGCCATGACTCACCCTCTTCCACATAAAACCTTTTCCAGTAAAAGAAGAGATGTTGAACATCGAGAGCAGGCTCACATCCTGAGCTCTACCACACACAGGAATCCTACATATTCTTGGTACTCCACACCCAGGGCCCTGGCCAAGGGCGTCTGGCATTTCAGAGTGCATATCAGAAAACAGATGGTGATTCCTTAGGACAGAGGCATGGTTTCTGACTAGAGTCCTGTCAAACAGTATAGTAATACAATATTGATAAGAACTCAAGTTTATGGAACACTGGATCATTTCTAAAGATAAAATGAGCTTATTTAGAAGGTTATAGTTTTGATATGCATAAAAACTAAAAAGAGAGTATGCTTTGAAATTAAGAAGCCTTTAAAGATTGTTGCCAAATTTGGGGTAAAACTAAAGGGATGGAAGTCAGCCAGTTGTCAAATGCCTACACTTTATTCTTTTCTGTCTTAGAAGTATTGGAAAAATTAGATTGACTCTTTGGAGAACCATATTCTATTATGAGAGCTTTCATTATGAGGAATCAATCTCTCCATAGAAACACCAAGAGAAGGAAATACATTCTAGAATTAAATATCTGGAGCTCCAAGGAATATATCTATGAGTAAAAATAAAATATTTTTACAAAACATATGTGAGAAATACTGGCATGACTTCAATTTTGTGAACATGTGTACCTTTGAAAAAATATGGATGCTTGCATATTTGAAACTCTTTGGGACCATAAACCACACAGCCTCTTGCAGATGATGGAATCAGGGTGACATGATAGATCCATGATTAATTTACACATTCTATAGTGTTGTCATTAGTATATATTTTATCCTACTTCTCACTAACTGCTTACATAGTCAAATAAACAAAATTAATGAAAAATTAGATACCTGGATACCATGAAGAGGAGTTTTCTCAATGTACTGAAAGATGTTCAGGTTACTTCTCCTTAGAATGCCAGAACCAGAGTAAAGAATGTCAAGGCTGTAAGTAGATGCCGAATGGGAAGTCCCTAATGACACCAACAAAAAAAATCCCTGAATTTAACAACAGTCACAGCAATGCCGAGCAGGGCATGGGGCAGGGAGGGAGAACCCCTTTCTGGATTACGTACGTTCTACATAGCCAGTATATGCAGAGGAGGAGCCACTCTTGGAGAAACGATCATAGTTATGAGCGACCATTTCCTTCAGAACTCGACGGACCATTTTGCTGTAACACAAAAAAAGGAAAAAGCTGCATTGTGATGGCTGTTTCCCAAGTCAGATTTGGAAGGAACCCAAATCCTCAGTGGAAAAAAGAAGGGGCCAAATTTTCCTCGTGCCACTCCAAGACTAGGGAGGTGCCAGCTGGAGTGCCAGCACCAGGATGAGGGTTTTCCCCTTCATTCCTCAGATATCTGAAGTTTAGTTTGCAAGTTTAGACAGCAGGGTGAGGATACCCAGCTACTAGATGGCTGAAGCTCAGTGATGGACACGACTCAGAAGTGGAAAACAACACGTTCTTTGAATCATCGTAGTTCTAGTGTCAACTAGTATATGCTTTTAAGGAAAACTGTACCAAACTAGGGAGGCTGCCTAATCTTTCTTTAAATGTTTTCCTATACCCCCTAGTGTTGTCTAATGTTCAATTAAAGGGACACTTCACAAGGGACTTCTCTGGTGGTGCAACAGTTAGGACTTCACGAGCTTCCACCATTAAGGGACACAGGTTCGATCCCTGGTCAGGAAACTAAGATCTCACAAACCACTCAGCATGGCTATAAAAAAGAAAAAAAAAGAAAGAAAGAAAGATCTCAGTAAAACGCAGTGTGCGTGCTAAGTTACTTCAGTCATGTCTGACTCTTTGAAACCCTATGGACTATAGCACACCAGGCTCCCCGGTCCATGGAATTCTCCAGGCAAGAACACTGGAGTGGGTTGCCATGCCCTTCTCTAGGGAATTTTCCCAATCCAGGGATTGAAACCACGTCTCTTTCAACTCCTGCATTGGCGGGCAGGTTCTTTACCACTAGCGCCCCCTGGGAAACCTGAGAGCCTCTTTCTAAGTAAGTCTTACCCCTCTAAGGGATAGCTATGGACCTCAATATTCTTGGGCTTCCCTGTAGCTCAGCTGGTAAAGAATCTGCCTGCAATGTGGGAGACCTGGGCTCGATCCCTGAGTTGGGAAGATCCCTTGGAGAAGGGAAAGGCTACCCACTCCAGTATTCTGGCCTGGAGAATTCCATGGACTGTATAGTACATGGGGTCCCAAAGAGTTGGACATGACCAAGAGACTTTCATGTTTGTTTTTTTTCTTCTCTATCTTATTTACTTATCTAATTAGTGTTGAGATATTACCATTCCTGACTACTTAACATTAATTGCATCAGTAATAATAATATTTAAACAGCACAGCAAAAAAGAAATTAAGATAATCCACCAAAGAAATCTGTACCGAGGTCTGATGTAGAACATTATTGAGAGGAAGAAGAAGAATGTTGCCTTACAGGGTTCACCCCAGTATCACTAGGTGATATGATTTTAGCCTGGAGGAGAAAAGGTAAAGAGCAGTTCTCAAATATTCACAGGGACTGCATGTGAGTGAGTGATTAGCTCCCTTCTGCTTTGCTCCAGGGATGAAGTCAGGTCGAGAGAAGATTTCAGTCCTACTGAAAATGTAGTTGGATTTTAAAGCATTACTAACATTTGGCAATATGATATTACCAGACCGAACAGGAAACCTGGAGTGAAAAAAAACCATATCCAGAGTTCCAAATCATAGTGCCAAGGCGAAGTTTAATCTGGCCTGCTAAATACTTCTCTTACGGGAAATTTGGCAAACTATTTGGTTTTACGCAACATAACCCATCATAAAGACCACACCATTATTATTAGCCACATGTGTATCACATCATTATACAAACAAGCTCGGATAAGCAGAGAGAGGGGCGCTGTTGCCTACCTTGCAGGCATTTCAAAACGTAGGATGTCTTGGACAATGGAGAGCATGTACTTATTCATTTCTTTGGGAAGTTCCCCAATAGAGAGCAGGATGTTTTTTACTTCCATGTAGGATGGATTGTTTTTTAAAATGATGGCAGCTGCAGTAGTGCGCACAGTTTTTTCATGTATTTTACGATTCTGGTGGTATATCCTGTTCATAGTCTTCTTTACCTGTAAACAAGATGTTCAAGCTTGGTTAGCGCACATCTTGTTTCATGAATTGATACCATGGAAGGAAGAGTTCATGCTCATAAAAATAGACACATGCCTCTATATTTCCCACATTTCTTTGCACTTACGGTGGGGCCCTAGTTCTGGCTAACAGACCATAAGCAGAATTTCTGTGGGTGACTTCTGGGCTGAGGCAGTTAAGAGCTGATATATCTTATCCCTCTCTTTCGTCCACTACTATAGTGAGTTCATGACCACATTTTCCCTTAGCATGGATTAGCCGTAGCATGGATGAGAAGCTGAGATGTGAGAAGCAGATTTTTGAGTCTTGATTGTTATGCAGCGTATCATAGTATTACCTAACAAACACAGATTTTTCAAAGGTACTACTGCTACGCGGCAAAGGGCCTCTATAGAGAGACGGCTATATGAACCTATATTCCTTACAATGAAGTGCCTCAGAATTTTCCATCTTTTTAAAATTAATAGACTATTTTTTAGAGAAATCTTAGGTTCACAGAAAAATTGAGCTGCAAGTATAGCGTTCCTATATACCTCCTGATCTCCATCCCTTCCCACTCCCCCTCCCACACAACCTCCCCTCTGTCAACATCCTGCATCTCAGTGGTACGTGTATTACATTTGATGAACCTTTACTGATACATCATTATCACCCAAAGTCCATAGGTTATATTAGAGGGTTTTCTTTTTTCTTTTTTTCTTTTTTTTACAAAATGTTAATACTGAAGAAAATTCATCAAAATAATTACATTCTGTGGTAACAACTAATTTATTAGTCACTAGCATCGCCTAACAATAGGTGATGTTTGGGGTTCTATACTAGGTGTTTATAAATATTTCTTTCAATTCTATTCCCCTCTGCCTTGTTCTCTCTCTCAAATGTTGACCTTTTTCTCAGGTCTATAGGACTTAAGAAACTCATCAAAACAAAAACAACTAAGAAGAGACTGCGCCAGAGTCTAAAGAATCTGTCTCTAAGTCTGTCTCAAAAACTTGTGACCCTAATTATCACACTTCACAGACTATCAACTTTGATAGAAAACGTAGCTGCAAACTTAGAACATCAGTTTCAGCAGGCAGTTTATCTTATACTTTGTAAACATTCTCTGTCCTAAAAAAAATTTTAATTTGGATGGCTTCCTGAATGGTCACACTTAAGCCAGGTAATTCCCATGTCAAACAATTTAAGAGCATCTTAAAACTTGTGTGTGTGTGTGTGTGTGTGTGTGTGTGTCTGTGTTAGTTGCTCAATCATGTCTGATTCTGCGACCCCATGGACGGTAGCCCATCAGGTTCCTCTGTCTGCAAGATTTCCCAGCCAAGGATACTGGAGTGGGTAGCCATTTCCTTCTCCAGGGGGATCTTCCCTACGCAGGGACCGAACCTGGGTCTCTTGCATTGCATCAGATTCTTTACCGTCTGAGCCACCAGGGAAACAAAGATATTTTGGAGAAGAATTTGTTTCTTAAAGTAAGAGAAGGTGCTTCAATATTTATGCTTCAGGATATAGGACATTATCTACTCAAAATGTGAGGCTACTTCAGAACAGCCTTAAACCCAATTGAAGTTATTTCTAAACAGGAAAAAAGAGATTCTTAGTTTGGGAGGGAAAATAGGGTGACTTCAGAGAAGTTTGCATTTGACTTGTGATTATGCATGCTTTTTTTTTTTCCTTTTATGAAGGTTGCAAATATTCTTGGAGAAAGTACCTCATCAGTTATGAAAGGGACATCATATCTCTGGAGTGTGGTGGCAGCGAGGTGGCTGATGGGCCCTTCTCCAGTCTCTGTGTACTTCAGAAGGAGCGGGATGCCTTCTGGAAGCCGGGCATTCTTCAGAGCCAGCAGGTACATCATGATGTCCTCTTTTTTCTCTGCTTTTTCAAGTCCTCCCAAAATTAACTTCTTGGCTTCTATCACTCCCTAAAAGAACACATTCTACATCAGACATATGTGTAACCATACATGAAACAAAGCTTGGGTAAGATCAGCTTCACTCTTGTGTCCAAGACAACAACTTTTTGCACTGGTTGCTTGACTGAGGCATGCAATGAAAATGAAAAAGTAAAGCTTGATAAAGGTAATGTTATTTTTTAAATACATACATTAACATATCTGCAAGAAGCAATGAGTATAATTAACAACGGGCATATTTACTTTTGAACACACCCTGAATGTATAAAGTCATTTTTAAAATTCCCTTGTGGTCGATTATTCCTAGAATTACTCATTCATTGAAATTCTAAAATAATGGTTAGAAGATGCCTAACTGGTGGCAATCACCTTTTCTTTCATAATAACTATGGTGAAAGCACTTAGGACTCAACTGTAAGATCTTGTTCTAAATGTTTAAAGAGTTCTCATTTCCACTCAATTCCAAATTTAATTAATGCTGACATACTGTTAAAAAAAACCTTTCTTGAATGCCTTCTGTGTAGCAGGTACTTTGCAGACATATTCTTTAATCAAGAAAGGCCTTTTGTTTTCTGGCCTAGTTAATAGTTTAATGGAAAAGTAAATTAGAAATAGGCTTTATTTTACCTTTGTTACTAGGTATGTTTTAGGGGCTTCAGTGTCATCTGTAGGCTTCAGGTACACACACACACACACATTGGGAGAGATGGGGGTAGTGAAGACACAAAAGACCCTCAAATAGAATGAAGATGCTAAAGTTCAAATGTAATAAAGAAGTGTTATTTCTCAACTATCAGACTGATCTCTAAAAACCCAAAAGTTTGATAACATAAATTGTTATTGAGCCTACTGGGAAATAGGCATCCTAGTGGGAGCCTAAAATGTTACAATTCCCATGGAAGATAATTTGGCAAAAGCTAACAGATAGGCATTTTGATCCAGTACCCTAGCCCTGAAGCTATAGTTCCAAAAATAAGAGAAAATGTGCCCAAGATTATCCATTTAAATATTATTTGTAAGAGTAAAAACAGTGGACATCACCTAATGACCATACATGGGGAATAAACTGGTGCCTCAGTTTAACACACAATGGAGTACTAGGCAGCTGTAAAACGAAGGAGAAAGATCTCTGTGAACCAGTATGGGCTGATTTCCAGAATATGTTAAGTGAAGAAAATAAGATACAAGAGAATGTATATAGAAGTTTATAGTTTGTGTAAGAAAAAAGGAATAAGAATGTGTGTGTACACCTACTTACTGTTGCAAAAAGAAACAGGAAAGAGAACCCAAAACTAATGACACTGCTTACATAGAAAAAGTAGGTAACAATGGGTGAAAGGGTAGGAAACGGAATGAGACCTCAAATCATGTTCTTATTTCATATATTCAAGAAATAAAATGAAGTCAACAAGGATGAAAGGATGCTAAAATTGAATTCAAACAAAATCTAATGAACATGAATAAATATCAGATTAATAACATAACTAAACAAAAGAGAATGAAAAAGAATTAATCCAAGTAATGTTGAGTATAGTACTCTGACTATATGCCTTTAGTGTAATATATTCTAAAGACAAAAAGATTGTGAAGTCCTGAACTTTACTAAAGATAGTTTGTTTTTTGTAGTGATATTTGTGTAACAGCTCTAAAGCTATTTACAAGTGCACGTTTTAGGATTGAGCAAATTGAATCAGTATTGATGTTCTTGAGAACCAAAGTTCTCACTGTGGGAGAAGGAAGATATAATTATGGATTAATGGCAGGAGAGGAAGAACCCTGTAGAACAGGGTTAGAATTAGAGGTAGCAGTATGAACTCATAATTTAATAAATATAAATACATGTATCTTGTCCATTGTAAGAGCCTAGATGCAATGGCCTTCAAGTTATGAGAAGTAAAAGTCTTTAGGGGTAAAATGTCAGGTGCATGCATCTTACTCTCAAAGAGTTCAACCAAAATAATATAAAATGAAATAGGATAATGCAAATAGGACAATATATTAACAACAGTCAAATCTAGATGAATCAGGTATACAAATATTCATGGAATTGTGCTATTCTCACAACTTTTCCATAGGTTTGAATTTTTTTCCAAATATAAATTTGGCAGAGAAAAGAAATTAGGATGCAGTGAGATAAAAATGTAAGCAAAAACAAATATTAGTAGGAAACAAAAATAGAAGTAAAATGCTGACTGAAAGCTGGTTATATAATAAACACGGATAGAAAAAAAAAAGACTATATTTGTATATATTTAACATCTTTAACCTATTTGCCTCACAGAAAGATGAGTTGTGTTGGATATTAATTCATTTAGATTTTCCATATTTAGTTGTGCTTAAAAGTGAGTGTTTTGTCATAGTTTAATGAGAAAGATGTTAAAATTGTTAGTCTACTCAGGCAAGTGGAGAAGCTTTGAGGAAATGAAATTAAAAATAAAATATAAAGTTCTAAAGTAGTTAGAAGTAATTAAATTTCTACCATAAAAAACTCAAAACTACAAAACATACTTACTATAGATAATAGTCTGCTCTAGGAGGTAACCCTAGAATCTAGTATCAAAGAACAAGAACTTTACCATATATACATATATACATCATTCAAAGTTGAGTACAGTACATAGTAGGTACTCAATAAATATATATTGATGGGGGATTCTTGGACTATTCACTTTCAGCATGCATTTATTGAACATTACCTATGTACCAGGCACCGTTTTAAGCAACTGGTGGGGAATAAACAGAGATCCATTTCTGCAGTGAACTTATACTTCAGTGGGAGACAGAATAAATAATCCATGTAATAAATAACTGAATTATAAAGTATGTTCAACAGCAATAATTGCCATGCAAGTAGTGAAAATAGAGTAGGGTGAGGGGAGTTAGGAACACCAGTTGGGGACAGCACGTGAGTGTTAAATAGGATGGTTTGGAGCTATCTATGCAGTGGCTGAGATTGGATTTGCACTTACTTTCAGTTTGCAGCCTTCATTCTGACACAACTTCCTGACAAGGGCCCCGATGATGATCATAACAGATTCTCTGATGTCATTGCTTCCAAAAGAACCTTTGAACTTACTCTATTAGCCAAACAGGGATAAAATAGATTACCAAAACATTTAAACATTTCCATGGCATATTTTTCAGTAAGAAACAAAGTAGCCAAAGACTGAAGACACTGTTTCCATATTTCTAGATTGCAAACTCTGAATTTTGCTTTGGGAACACATAAATTCACTATCTAGCTTTGAATTGAAGAGTTGGTAGAGTCTTTCTAGGTATTTTTAACATAGATCTGTGAATTCCTGAGAGGTTTATGGATTATATTCACTGCATCAGTGAATCCAAAAAATGGTCTGTAAAATCGTATGTGTGGGTAATGAGGGGCTTCACTGATGCTATTAAATTTTCAAACAAGCCCATTTTCCAAAAAGATTATGAGTTATTCCCCTAAATCATAAGTGAATAAGTGCACTGTTTTTAAACCTTGGGTCCAAGAGAACTGTAGCTTTTGCTTCCAACATAACTTTTCAGTATCAGAAGAATTATATGTATTGGGTTGGTGAAACAGTTCATTAAGGTTTTTCAGTAATAATGTATTGAAAATCCCAAAGGAACTTTTTGGCCAACCCAATGCATAACATATAATGATTATATGTTATACAATGTACTATACATTAAATAGCATAAAGATTTTTGAAGTAAAAATAAATCTTTTAAAGTCAAATTGTGAAGCATAACCAAGATTGAAATTAAAATTCTGTCCTATGTCACATTACATGATAGGTGAATATAACATTTAAATTTCCATAAAACATAGCTTAAGTTATCTAGAGGAATTGCAAAGAAGACACTATGTGAAATATTCTACTTTGTGAAATAATCTACTACACAATTAATGGTTAATGGAAACAGTCTAACAGAATTTGAATATGAATAATCAGAAGGCTCTAGTTTCCGCCTGTATTCTGATGCTGGCAACTTTTAATTACTGCTTAGATTCTGAAGATCAGATGAGAGCTTTAATTTTGGCAGTGTCCATCTGACTTACAATGAGGGCTCTCAGGAGTTCTTCATCGGGATGTGAGGCAAATGCACAGGCATAGAGAAACCTTTCCTGGAGAATAAAGCTCTCGGTGCTTTTGAAATCCAGAAAGTCCAAAATGGCATCTAGTGAGTCTGGTGTCTGAGCAGAGGTGACAGCATCCACTAGCTGGGGTCTACAACAGAAAACACAGTCATAGATATCACTGTTTAGGGTGCTTAATAAATTATTTTGAATTTCTACCATTCATAGACCCCATTGGTTTGAGTTTCCTAGACAAGTGAAAATTTTTTATTTAAACAAAAGAAAAATGATGGCTTTCTCTGAAAGACACTACCCCATTTTATTTTAAGCCTCTCTCTTAACTCTCTTCTTTCTCACTCAATGTACCCTCAGAATATACAGATTAATTTTACTGTATTACCCTAAGCCAAATATAATTTGGAGGTTTGTAAATAAAATTATATAAATAATATTACAAATTAGGTTCAAATTCTTTTCTCCATAAGTAATATACAAAAGCTATGGTCTCCCAAATCAATTCTTTTTCTAATTAGCTTTGCAACTATATACACTTCTTAAATGCATAACTAAGGTAGTATCATTCAGTGGAAAGATGCGACATTCTTTTAAGTTTCATTTATATCCAAGAAAGAAATTTTGGCTCTTTTTTTTTAATAAAAAGCACCATGGTACAGTTCAAGTTCGGACTTCCCAGGTGATGCTAGTGGTAAAGAAGCTGCCTGCCAGTGCAGGAGAGGTAAGAGAGGTGGGTTCAACCCTTGGGTCAGGAAGATCCCCTGGAGGAGGGCATGGCAGCCCACCCCAGTATTCCTGCCTGCAGAATCCCACGGACAGAGGAGCCTGGTGGGCTACAGTCCACGAAATCACAAAGTGTCAGACACAACAAGTGATTGAGCATTCACACAAGCATAGTTCAAGTTCAATCACAACAGTTAGTTGTGAGCAGAGTGAAACTCCTGCAGGAAAGTGCTAGTTACATATTCTACTCATCAAGAATCTCTGGTCGAGTCTTGGGATGATAATATTTCTGAAACTAGTTGCCATACTAATGAACATAAGATGTCTGTATATATTTCGTTCCACATCTACATAACATACCATACACGTATTTAATGCATTATATATATACATATTTTAAAAAAGATATTCTTGTACTACACCATTTTGGTCCTAACAAAATCTCATGGAATGAAGCAGACAGAGAGAGAGATAATACTTATTAAGTGTTATTATTGCAAACAGTGCACTAGAAATTTTAGGTATGCAACCTCTTTTCCAAATTGGGAAAGGAGTACATCAAGGCTGTATATTGTCATCCTGCTTATTTAACTTATATGCAGAGTACATCATGAGAAATGCTGGGCTGGATGAAGCACAAGCTGGAATCAAGATTGCTGGGAGAAATATCAATAACCTCAGATATGCAGATGACACCAACCTTATGGCAGAAAGTGAACAACTAAAGAGCCTCTTGATGAAAGTGAAAGAGGAGGGTGAAAAAGTTGGTTTAAAACTCGACATTCAAAAAAACTGAGATCATGGCATCTGGTCCTATCACTTCATGGCAAACAGATGGGGAAACTGTGGAAACAGTGACAGACTTTATTTTCTTGGGCTCCAAAATCATTGCAGATGGTGACTGCAGGCATGAAATTAAAAGACGCTTGCTCCTTTGAAAAAAAAGTTATGACCAACCTAAATAACATATTAAAAAGCAAAGACATTACTTTGCCAACAAAGGTCCATCTAGTCAAAGCTATGGCTTTTCCAGTAGTCATGTACGGATGTGAGAGTTGGACCATAAAGAAAGTTGAGCGCTGAAGAATTGATGCTTTTGAACTGTGTTGCTGGAGAAGACTCTTGAGAGTCCCTTGGACTGCAAGAAGATCCAACCAGTCCATCCTAAAGGAAATAACTCCTGAATATTCATTGGCAGGACTGATGCTGAAGCTGAAACTCCAATACTTTGGCCACCTGATGCAAAGAACTGACTCACTGGAAGAGACCCTGATGCTGGGAAAAATTGAAGGCAGGAAGAGAAGGGGATGACAGAGAATGAGATGGTTGGATGGTGGATGGCATCACCAACTCAATGGACATGAGTTTGAGCAAGCTCTGGTAGTTGGCGAAGGACAGGGAAGCCTAGCATGCAGCAGTCCATGGGGTTGCAAAGAGTCAGACATGACTGAGCGACTGAATTGAACTGAACCTCTTTTTGCTTTAACTTCTTCATCTGTAATGTAGGGCTATAAAGAGCAGTTATTTTAGGGTTGTCAGGAGGATTAAATCACATGATCTATGTAAAACACTAAGAATAGTGCTTGGCACATTGTAAATGCTCAATAAATATATGCTGTTATTAATACCATCAGCTCACTGAACATCTCTGTCAGTTTAATACTAATATTCTCCCTATACATAAGGAAACAGACTCAGAAATATCAAATCATTTGTTCAAGGTCCCATAGCTGGTAAAAATAGAGCTAGGATTGGAACTCAGTTTTTTCTGACTCTGGAATACATGGGTCTTAATTACAGTGTTTTCTAAAGTGTTTTCATATAATGCTAACCCTACAAAATGCTTTAAGAAGAGGGATTTTCAAGGTCATGTAAGTTTGGAATATATTTAAGGAAACTTATATGTAATATTATCAGATTAAAGATGCCAGATATTTCCGCAATAAAGAGAACTATTTGACTTGGTTTTTCCCAGTGTTTTTCAAACTCAATTGCTCACAGGAGCCTTTCTTCTTGGCATACTTGTTAATAACCTCAAAGTTATAGGATACACATAATAAAACTGGGAAATGTTATGTTCCACCATCCTGACTTTCACTATACTACAATAAACAGAAGGAATTCTCTGTATTTTATGAATGTTGAAAATGAGGCTCAGGGAAACTAAATGTAAATGACTTACTTAAAGGTTATATGATGTTGGAAGTCAGAATTTAAAACTAGGACTTCTGATTTTAGTTCATCCTAATATCTTTTCTACTATACTATGTTACATGTCTATTTCCTATGATATGATGCAATATTGAAAATATTATCAGGTAAATAACCTGATTTAGAAAATACATCATGCAATCATACAAATTATTGCCACCATAAGATTTTTAGGATACAAATAAGGCTAAGGCTTAGTGTAATCTCTGTTCTAAGTTAACAGCCAAATTTTGCACTGTTTTTGTCAGTAATTTTTTTTTGACAAAAAGATAAGTAACTCTAAAATACATCCTTAAGTGCTATGATTAAAACAGAGTCTGAGAATTTATAATTTTGCATATATTTAACTCAGTTTAAATGTTTATTTTTGAAGACAGTATCCAACTAACTTGTAGTTAGTCATATGGAATTCGTATCAATTTTTTAATGCCCTAAGTCAAGTCAATAACAGTATAATCAAGAATAAACAATCTTCTCAGGAAAAAAGCTAAATTCTCTTATTCTTGAGTAATCAAGTCCTTTGAACTCAGTGACCACTGTTGCTGTGTGTGTTGTGTGTGTGGGAAGGGGTGTAACTTGGCCGTTTTATACTTTTGACTATCTTAATGGCTAGTTTCCACTTTTTGTCAAACTAACTGAGTTATGTTCTATATCATCAATTAGCATAATTAGTGTTAAACAGTTGAATTTGTAGTTGCAGGTAAATTTTGTTTTACAGACCAAAACACTTCTATTTAGAAAGTGTATTTGTATTGGTATTTACAAAGTAAGTTTGAGAACTGTCAACTCTCTTTATTGTGGATGTTAAATAAGGCACTCTTCCACTGAATACTCAAATGATGTACGTATTTCTTTTCTCTGGATTCTTTTGGCTGTTTATCTCAGTTCTCAATTTTCTTTTCAAAACAAGGCTTCGATGAGGATCATCACTGTGTCTTTAATGAAAGCTCATTTTCAACAGAAAAAATCATACTGGTTTTTTTGTTTGTTTTTATAATCAATTCTGAACTCTTTTTGAGTATAAATTAATAGCTCTGGGAACACAATTTCACCAGAGTGTGGCAGCGCCTGCACTGTGGTATCACATCCAAGTCCTAGATGTACCAATCTAGACCTGATTTACACTCATGAACAAAATGTTCAAAATAAAATGTTCACTCTGAGTCACTGCTGAAAACTTGCATTTCTGGCCAATTAACTATTGAGTTACTGCACTGAGGCATAAGTGTTCAATGCAAATGTGAAACAGCAAACAATTGATTTGAAGGTGAGGCAGTTGATTAAAAAGGGATCTTATCTGCTTAATAAACAGCATCCCGGAAACACTTTCTTACAGACAACCCCAGGAAACGTTCAGGGAACTTACAGTACTTCCTTGTTTTCTGCCTTTAGAATTTGGAGGATCTCTTCTTTCTTTGCCGTCCTGAGGTGCTTGACGAAGGCCAGGAAGCTTCTGACAGCCTCAGCCTTGGAGAGGTTGTCAGGCTGCAGGTGGTTTCTGATGGACTGCCAGTGCTCTGAGAGCTGCAAAACACGGCCACAGGCCGAGACCACACTCATAATTCTGAACATCCAAGTTTACAAAGAATGTTCTCTCCAGAAATAAATTTTTCCTTGTATCTGACAAGCAAAAGAAGCTCTTTGTATCTTACCTCAATATATTTGATTGCCCCTGCCTCTATCACATTCCTGTGACTCTCAGAGGCAAATACAGAGGCCTGCTGACCAGTGCACAAGTCCTCCTCGAGAGGACAGTATTTGTAGATTAGTACTTAGCTCAAATGACTCAAGATTCTGGGCATGTAGGTCATTCCATGGTTACACAAGGGAATTACATCTGAGGCCAGGCTTTGACTACCCTAGTGAAATTATGTTGAATTTTCATCAACAACAGAATATTTTGGAGGGGGAAAATCATCTGAACTGCTGAAGAATTGTGTCATGTTTCTTATGAACTGAAACCTTAATGAAAACCAGTTTTTATAATAATTTGATCTCCCTATTCTCTTTATTATACTGTTTGTATGAAATACAAGTAATAGTAAAACACCTTGCTGAGGTCTGAACTGTTCATTTCATATATCCGTGTTAAGTAGAGTGACATTTAGATAAAGGTAATCCTCATATACACTACTGTTATGCTGCTGTGGTTTTAAAAATAGTAAATAGTTCTAATCAATAACATCTTTTGGCTTAGGAAAAAGTTCAAAACCTTATTTTTCATAGTTTATCACTTCTCCCTTAGTTGTAAAAAATGTGTTAAATCCCATAAGTGACCTCTCTCTTAACTCTGCAGAATCTGCATGCTACCAGTTTTTAAAATATTCATTCCTTCCAATAACAACAGATACATATTTTGCTCTTCTTCAAATCCATTTTGGTTATCTAATCTTAAGAGGGTAGTCCAAAAAAATATTCCAGTTGTACTTAGCTAAAGATTTACTGGGTCATTTCTGAGGGCAGAGATCATATCAGTGTTAAGTCAGAATTTTTTTCTTTAAAGAGTTGCAATGGTGACATTATACTGACATTGAATAAGCAAATTCCAAAGACATAAACCTTTTCTATAATAATGAAGAAATAGTTTTGAGAAATCTTAGATGGCTCATTATATTTGATAACTAGGAGGAGAAAAATTAACAGAATAAGAAAAGATCATTGGTTTCATTAGTCACCTTTCTAAATAATTTCCGTCTCATATGACATTAGAAAATGACACTGGAACATTCGATAATTTATGGGGAAAAGAAGAAGAAACAAGGTTTGAGAACAATTATTTTTGTCTCATTTTGTTTTCCCCTTCACTCAATTTTGATATATTTGAAAAACTAATAAGGAATTAGTGCCTTACACTTTAAGCAAATTCTGGTATTAGCTCTTGATGATTCCACTCTTCTGAACACTAATAATGGCCAAGGGAAGGGCATCTTCTGGTAGCTACAAACAGAGGCTGAAGCTAAGGGTTAAGTATTAGGAAACCCTGGAACCCAGAGTCATATCTGTGGCCATACATCACAACTGATTTATGCAACAAAAGAAATTATTCTTTATTAGATTAAAAATATTACACACTCACAAATACATACAGATACACTCACACATGCACACACACACACACTCACACACTTAGCCTTGGGGGTGTGCTCATTTCTGGCTGTAACAGTAGGGGAGGTTGGGGTGTGGTAAGTAAGTATTCCTGATTTAGGTGAAGAGCTTGGTATCCATTTCTAGTCCTCCTAACAGCTCTCAGAACACTGAGCTCAGTAAAACAATTCACCTGTGGACATTTTACTATGTGTGTGCTCAGCTGTTTCAGTTGGGTCCTACTCTTTGCAACCCCATGGACTGTAGCCCACCAAGCTTCTCTGTCCATGGGATTTCCCAGGCATGAATACTGGAGTGGGTTGCCATGTCTTCCTCCAGGGGATCTTCCCAACCCAGTGATCCAACTCATATCTCTTCTTCTGCATTGCAGGTGGATTCTTTACCCACTGAGCCACCTGGGAAGTCTGAACATATTACTCCTGAGAGACAGAACTTTCAGGATTCAGGCTACTGCCCATGCTCTCAAGGCTGTATGCTTCCCCTAACTTCATCAGGCCCTTATCCCCACTGCATTCTGAGGTAAGCTGCCTTCAAGTCATGACATTTTTCATTTGAAATAAGTGGATGTGGTAGTCATTTGTTAATTATTATAGCATATTATTAGGCTGCTGCCATTATAACTCAGTGGTGGCTGGAAGTTCTTTGTTAACTTTCCTTATAAATTAACTGAAGCTTCCATTGGAGACAAAAGGAAAACAGAATGGTAGGCCATGATTATCCCATGATTGGGCCACACAATACTGTGGCTCACACTTACAGAAGGGCATCCTTTGCACTTGCTCTGGAAGACCTGGCCCACAATGGGAATGGCCGTGTACTTCGAATCGACTGCTTTAATGATGGCTGCAACCTGCTTTCCCGGCTTCAGTCTCAGACCTGCTTCCGTGGTTTTCAGCTCCAGTTTCTGCCTGCATGACCAAGGAAGAGAAATACCACATCAGCAGCCTTCTTTTGAGTTAACAAGCTATTAATTGTCACTCTTTTGGCAAACAAGAAACTAATGTATTCAAATTCTGTAAGGCCATGTCATTCAAACTGAGATATCTCCAGCAGTAACAGAAACCTCTAGATAATTATGAAAATTTTCTGGAGCAACAATTTTATTCAAAGGTTTGAAAGTTTAAGCCTGGGATTTCAAAATACTATGACAAGAGATTACAGGAAAGAAAATTTGCCTGGATGCTGAGCAAGATGTACAATGTCACCTTTTTGGGCTTTAGCCCAACTCTCTGAAAAATAATATCTTCGGGACAACCACATGTCACTTACTAAAACAATGAGGAAATCTTGTTTTCCAAATATGGCCTCAAGAGTTTGATATGCTCTTTCAGTAGCTTGCCTCTCTCCCTTCAAAAGATGGAGTCTACATCCCTCTCCTTAAGCCTGGGCAGGACTCTGTGACTGCCAGGACTTGTAGAGCACAGTAGAAGTTTCAATATATGGCTTGTAAGGCTAAGTCCTTTTATGTTGGAGAAGGCTCCTGAGAGTCCCTTGGATTGCAAGATCAAACCAGTCAATCTTAAGGGAAATCAACCCTGAATACTCATTGGAAAGATAGATGCTGAAGCTGAAACTCCATTATTTTGTTCATCTGATGTGAACAGCTGACTCATCACTAAAGTCCCTGATGCTGCAAAAGATTGAGGGCAGAAGGAGAAGAGGGCGTCAGAGGATGAGACAGCTGGATGCAATGGACATGAACCTGGGCAAACTTCAGGAGATGGTGAGGGGCAGAGAGGCCTGGCGGGCTGCAGTCTATGGGGTTGCAAAGAGTCGGACATGACTGGGTGACTGAACAACAAGTCACAAAAGAGAATTCAGCTTTCATCTGGCAAGCTAGCAGCACATACCTTGGGAGACTTGAGCTACCATGTAAGAAGTCTGGCTACTGAAGCGACCATGTTGAGAGGCCACATGGAGATAAAGAGAGATGCATGAGGAGCCCAAGTAGTGTGAATCTGCAGCCCAGACACTAGATAGGTGAGGGAGCAGCCTGTGAACCAGCTCTGCAACTGCACAACACACAGCCAGCAAGGCGTGCCTAGCAGGATCAAGTGTCATGATTATGAGAGAAAATAATAAAGTGATTGCTGCTTTTCATACTACTAAGTTTGGAGTGGTGTGTTATAGAACAATGGAATCCTGATAAACCTAAATTTAAAATATTAATTTTATATGAAATCAAGACGGATGTAGTACAAAGTAGAATGCAAGGTTCTAATCCAGAGGAGACTTCAATAAAATTTCAAGCATTTATGGTTTGAGGCATTTCTACCAAGATTTTGCAACCATTTACCTCTGACATTAGAGTTACTTCAGAAGAAATATTTGAGAAATAATAGCAGAAGATATAACTTACATTTAATGCTAGGATGTGTTACTCTAAATTAAAATCTGAAAATAAGACATACTCTTAGATTTGAAATTCTAGTCCTATGAGAACTGTTCTAGCCTGTGAGAACTGTTCTGACCAGAGAAATTTTCTCAAATTGAAATAACAGTCTTGAATATGTAGGTACTATAAATCACAGCAAAAATTCTGTCATATCACTTTATTCTGGAACATTTTTGTGTTTAATAACACACAATGACAATAACACAATGTGTGACAATAACACAATGACAAAAAAATAATCTTGAGGAGAGAACACACAAATGCCACTTTTTTATCTTAACATTAAAAGCATTTGATAGAGAAATCAGAAAATAAATAAGAATAAATCAAGGTGTTTTCCTTTTTAAAATTTAAATTCTAGTCAATAGACAATTTGTTTTTAATGAAGTCCTATTTTAAAACATTAAGTATTATTTCATGCCACATACTACTATAGATAATATGAAAAATAAAGAGGAACAAGACATAATTATTGTTCTAAAGGAGCTCACAGTCAAAATGAAGAAGCAATAAATATATTAATTCATGTGCATGTATATATGTGCATACATATTTTTTAATTTTAATAATATACTAAAGAACAGTAAGGAAAATTTAAGCATTATCTTACCTTGATACTATTTTGCCTTCTATTGATTGTAGAAAATTCAGCCTCAAGGCATGTATCTCTTCTGAGAGCACAGCTACAACAAAGCTGTCTTCTATCTTATAGGTAGTGACAGATGTGGCTTTCGAAGTGACACCCAAGACCTAAATAAATAAATGTGGTTGTAACAAGCAATCAGCTTTCTATCTTTGAATCAAGCCAAATAGCAAATTATCTTCTCATTTTCACAAGAATGCCCCTTTCATATTTGATCAACACACAAACCTACAATACATTAAAATAAATCCATTCATTTGATATTATATAATACTGTACCCTAAACTAAAAATTGCAAGTATTCCCAAATTATATTGCTACTTTATTCACCTATTATTTTTGAATCATCTCTACAAAAAGAACTTGGTTGCTTCAGAAAGTGATAGCCAGCATACCTGATGTGGGGTTGTAAATCCAGCCCTCTCTATTTTGCATGAATCCAAAGCCTTAATTTTGGTCACTTTGTCTTGATGAGCCTGGTAGGTCACTTTACAATCTCCAGAGATGTCTACCTAAAAAGAAAAGCCAAAATACAATGTTTCAGATGGGATTCTCACATGAACCATTTGAATTCCAGTGGCAAGTAGCTTAAAAATTGGGGTTCTAATACATCATGCAGGACTCCTTTCTCTGACAAGATAGGAAAACAGAAGAATTTAGTGTCTCCTGAAGCATGTGGAGTCCTTTCCATCCTCTTTGAGTCTTATGAGCACATTCTTATTGCCCCAGGAATAATAAATGATTTCCTACTTCTCTCTAATGTCTAATAGGAATTGGACAAATGGCCTCTCAGTTCAGTTCAGTTCAGTTCAGTTCAGTCGCTCAGTCATGTTAGACTCTTTGCAACCCCATGGACTGCAGCATGCCAGGCTTCCCTGTCCATCACCAACTTCTGTAGCTTACTCAGACTCATGACCATTGAGTTGGTGATGCCATCCAACCATCTCATCCTCTGTCGTCCCCTTCTCCTCCCACCTTCAATCTTTCCCAGCATCAGGGTCTTTTCAAATGAGTCAGTCCTTTGCATCAGATAGCCAAAGTATTGCAGTTTCAGCATCAGCATCAGTCCTTCCAATGAATATTCAGGACTGATTTCCTTAAGGATAGACTGGTTGGATCTCCTTGCAGTCCAAGGGACTCTCAAGAGTCTTCTCCAACACCACAGTTCAAAAGCATCAATTCTTTGACTCTCAGCTTTCTTTATACCCAATTCTCACATCCATACATGAATACCAGAAAAATCATACCTTTGACTAGACAGACCTTGTTGGCAAAGTAATATCTCTGCTTTTTAATAGGCTGTCTAGGTTGGTCATAACTTTTCTTCCAAGGAGCAAGCGTCTTTTAATTTCATGGCTGCAGTCACCATCTGCAGTGATTTTGGAACCCCCAAAAATGACCTAGTCATAATCAAAATCTCTCAAATGGGTAATTATGGGGTGAGGGGAGTTGACTTTTAATACTATGTGTAGGCTGTGTGTGTGTGGGTGTGTACGTGCAAGCACACACATGCTTTGATGAGCTAAGTCCTTTAAAACCTGCAGCATTAATTCAGTTCACCATAAGGCACATCAATAATTTGAACGTTAGCAAATACATCTCAATACTGACTCTGTATAGCTTCTCCGAGGCGTCCCTTTGGCCTCTACAAGCCAGTCTTTCTACCCTCAGTCTTTCCAGCAAGCTAACCAGCATTCTCTTGCCCCAGCCTTGCCATCAGATTTTCTTACCAGCTCATGAACTGGCTGAATTCAGACAAGAAAACTTGGACTCAGCTCTGCTTTAGTTATAATACTTGGGGAGGCACTAAACTTCTGTCATTTAACCTTTGTTTTCATCTATTAAATGGAAGGGTTCATATAGATCAAACTGACCACACCTACATTAGCTGAGAAGACTATTAAAATACAGATGCTAATCTACTGAACCAAAATCTCTGCAGTGAATCCAGGGAATCTTCATTTTTATAAGCTCCCTATGGCATAGGGATGCACAGTGAGGTCAGTGGAATGTTCTCCAAGGTTTTTTGGGTCTCTATCAGTCAGCCATGAAATTAAAAGATGCTTGCTCCTTGAAAGAAAAGTTATGACAAATCTAGACATATATTAAAAAGCAGGGACATTACTTTGCTAACAAACATCTGTCTACTCAAAGCTAAGGTTTTTTTCTAATAGTCATGTATGGATGTGAGAGTTGGACTATAAAGAAAACTGAGTGCCGAAGAATTGATGTTTTTGAACTGTGGTGTTGGAGAAGACTCTTGAGAGTCCCTTGGACTGCAAGGAGATCCAACCAGTCTATCCTTAAGGAAATCAGTCCTGAATATTCATTGGAAGGACTGATGCTGATGCTGAAACTGCAATACTTTGGCCATCTGAAGCAAAGGACTGACTCATTTGAAAAGACCCTGTTACTGGGAAAGATTGAAGGTGGGGGGAGAAGGGGACGACAGAGGATTAGATGGTTGGATGGCATCACTGACTCAATGGGCATGAGTCTGAGTAAGCTACAGGAGTTGGTGATGGACAGGGAAGCCTGGTGTGCTGTGGTCCATGGAGTCATAAATAGTCAGGCACGACTGAGCGACTGAACTGAACTGAACTGATCATTCAGTCATTCTATAGGTCTCCTTAGTATAACTGATTCTAATTTCCTTTCCCCTGTATTCGAATACAAATTGGGGTAAATGACAATTTGCTTCATATGTAAATGAGACAACTACCCAACTCACCTTTTCTAATCATTACCATAGGAGTAATTTTTTTTTTTTTTTTACTGAATCTCTCCAAATAGAAACCCATATAAACAATTTTAGTAACTATATATAAGATTCTAGACGCTTAATAATATTACTAAGTACCTCATTGGTAGTTCCAGAGCTTAACTGCATCTGAAATAGGCTAGCCAGGCCTCTCTTGAGATTTTCTATGGCTGCTGGTTCATTTTGATATGAGTAGAACTCTTTGATCTAGGTGAAAAAAGAACAAACATAAATAGAGCAGAAATGGATCATTTACGAGACTTGGTTAAATAAATATCAGGAAAGGTTAGATTCTCACCCCTATCAATCCTGAGAGAAAGAGATCTGTTAGTTCAAAGCTGGGACTTCCTTTTTTGTGAAAAGAAGCCATTTACATTTCAAAAAGCTAGACCACCAAAATATGACATTTATGGAGGCTGATAATGAAGGCTTTGGGTATGATGGGAATAACATAGGAAAGTAAAAAGAGCACTGATACAGGATAGGGTTTCTGTGAAAACAAGGATTGCCCAAGAAAGAGAAATCAGGAACATTCTCTTCAAGCATGTCAACATATTCCCTACCTGTAATTCTGCTTGAAACAAAAATTAACCAATGTTTGGACTTCCCTGGTGGTCCAGTGGTTAAGAACCTGTCTGCCAAAGCAGGGGACATGGGTTTGATTCCTAGTCCAGGAATATCCAACATGCTGCAGAATAACTAAGCTGGCATGCCACAAATATTGAGTTCACATGCTACAACTATTGAAACCTGTGTGCATAAAGCCTGTGCTCTGCAACAAGAGAAGCCACCACAGTGAGGAACCTGCACCTCAAGGAAGAGTAGCCCCTGAAACTAGAGAATTCCTGCTCACAGCAGTGAAGACAAAAATCAAGTCTTCATCACAGTCAAAAATATAAACCATTCAATATCACGGTAATCCAAGTCTATGCCCCAAACAGTAATGCTGAAGAAGCTGAAGTTGAACGGTTCTATGAAGACCTACAAGACCTGCTAGAACTAATACCCAAAAAAGATGTCCTTTTCATTATAGGGGACTTTAATGCAAAACTAGGAAGTCAAGAAATACCTGGAGTAACAGGCAAATTTGGCCTTGGAGTACAGAATAAAGCAGGACAAAGGCTAACAGAGTTCTGCCAAGAGAACGCACTGGTCATAGCAAACACCCTCTTCCAACAACACAAGAGAAGGCTCTACACATGGACATCACCAGATGGTCAACACTGAAATCAGATTGATTATATTCTTTGCAGCCAAAGATGGAGAAGCTCTACACAGTCAGCAAAAACAAGACCGGGAGCGGACTGTGGCTCAGATCATGAACTCCTTATTGCCAAATTGAGACTTAAATTGAAGAAAGTGGGGAAAAGCACTAGACCATTCAGGTATGACCTAAATCAAATCCCTTATGAATATACAGTGGAAGTGAGAAATAGATTTAAGGGACTAGATCTGATAGACTGCCTGATGAACTATGGACGGAGGTTCATGACATTGTACAGGAGACAGGGATTAAGACCATCCCCAAGAAAAAGAAATGCAAAAAAGCAAAATGGCTGTCTGAGGAGGACTTACAAATAGCTGTGAAAAGAAGAGAAGCAAAAAGCAAAGGAGAACAGGAAAGATATACCCACTTGAATGCAGAGTTCCAAAGAATAGCAAGGAGAGATAAGAAAGCCTTCCTCAGTGATCAATGTGAAGAAATAGAGGAAAACAATAGAATGGGAAAGACTAGAGATCTCTTCAAGAAAATTAGAGATACCAAGGGAACATTTCATGCAAAAATGGGCTCAATAAAGGACAGAAATGGTATGGACCTAACAGAAGCAGAAGATATTAGGAAGAGGTGGCAAGAATACACAGAACTGTACAAAAAAGATCTTCACGACCCAGATAATCACAAAAGTGTGATCACTCCCACTCACCTAGAGCTGGACATCCTGGAATGTGAAGTCAAGTGGGCCTTAGGAAGCATCACTATGAACAAAGCTAGTGGAGGCAATGGAATTCCAGTTGAGCTATTTCAAATGCTGAAAGATGATGCTGTGAAAGTGCTGCACTCAGTATGCCAGCAAATTTGGAAAACTCAGCAGTGGCCATAGGACTGGAAAAAGTCAGTTTTCATTCCAGTCCCAAAGAAAGGTAATGCCAAAGAATGCTCAAACTACCACATAATTGCACTCTTCTCACACGCTAGTAAAGTAATGCTCAAAATTCTCCAAGCCAGGCTTCAGCAATATGTGAACTGTGATCAATCTGGTATTAGAAAAGGCAGAGGAACCAGAGATCAAAATGCCAACATCCGCTGGATCATCAAAAAAACAAGAGAGTTCCAGAAAAACATCTATTTCTGCTTTATTGACTATGCCAAAGCTTTTCACTGTGTGGATCACAATAAACTGTGGAAAATTCTGAAGCAGATGGGAATACCAGACCACATGACCTGTCTCTTGAGAAACCTGTATGCAGGTCAGGAAGCAACAGTTAGAACTGGACATGGAACAGACTGGTTCCAAATAGGAAAAGGAGAACTTCAAGGCTGTATATTGTCACCCTGCTTATTTAACTTATATGCAGAGTACATCATGAGAAACGCTGGACTGGAAGAAGCACAAACTAGAATCAAGTTTGCCAGGAGAAATATCAATAACCTCAGATATGCAGATGACACGACTCTTATGGCAGAAAGTGAAGATGAACTAAAGAGCCTCTTGATGAAAGTGAAAGAGGAGAGTGAAAAAGTTGGCTTAAAGCTCAACATTCAGAAAATTAAGATCATGGCATCTGGTCCCACCATTTCATGGCAAATAGATGGGGAAACAGCAGAAACAGTGGCTGACTTTATTTTTCTGGGCTCCAAAATCACTGCAGATGGTGATTGTAGCCATGAAATTTAAAGACATTTACTCCTTGGAAGGAAAGTTATGACCAACCATGATAGCATATTAAAAAGCAGAGACATTACTTTGCCAACAAAGGTCCACCTAGTCAAGGCTATAGTTTTTCCAGTAGTCATGTATGGATGTGAGAGTTGGACTGTAAAGAAAGCTGAATGCCAAAGAATTGATGCTTTTGAACTGTGGTGTTGGAGAAGACTCTTGAGTGTCCCTTGGACTGCAAGGAGATCCAACCAGTCCATCCTAAAGGAAATCAGTCCTGGGTGTTCATTGGAAGGACTGATGTTAAAGCTGTAGCTCCAATACTTTGGCCACCTGATACAGAGAGCTGACTCATTTGAAAAGACCTTGATGCTGGGAAAGATTGAAGGTGGGAGAAGAAGGGGATGACAGAGGATGAGATGGTTGAATGGCATCACCAACACAATGGACATGGGTTTGGGTGGACTCCGGGAGTTGGTGATGGACAGGGAGGCCTGGCATACTGCCGTTCATGGGGTCGCAAAGAGTAGGATATGACTGAGCGACTGAACTGAACTGAATCAAGTTTCAAAGTAACATCACAGATATAGATTCTTGTAGAGAATGGCAATCACCATGCTTGAGAATCCTCAGATGCACGGCCTCTAAGGGCTATGATAAGGGCCCACACGTGGCCAAAATGCCCATGGAGAAAATTCCACATGACTGATGTTCTCCGGCCCTCCAGAGCATTCCTGTTGGCCTCGGGTATGAGGAGACACAGAAGGTTGGAAGAATTGAGGCTTAGGGACTAACACTGCATGGCCTTCCACAGGGACTGCTTTGAATTTCTCTTCAGAAAGCAGGAAAAAGGCTAGAATGAAGAAGGGGACTGTGATTTGGCTGCAACAGTAAACAGCTTATCTTAGCTTTATTTCATCCTTGACAATTACAGGCACAGAGATGATAACTATGTCTTATACCATTTTGACCATTTAGCTCATGTTTAAGAAACAAGGATAAAAATACAAAGAATTTTCTGGAAAGCAGGCTGTCATTTTTTACCCTGTATTGACTTCAAAGACATCACATGATTTAGAAATGGAGAGGATGGATATAGCTTCCCTATAAAAATTCCCAAGGTTTGTGGTAATTATAGATACATGTCTACCAGAAATATCCTGAATGCCTTCCTATTTCTCTTTAAAACCAACCATGACTTCTCAAGTAAAACTGAAACCTCAGTCATTATGCAATAAATTCAATTAATACCAATCTGAACAATTTAGTGTACATGAAAACTCCCACATACCTCAGATGAAAATACTTTGCCTGATAATTCAAACAAGTGCCTCAAATTTTCTATTTTTATTTTCTACATATATTCTGCCTAGGGACAGATTTATTGGGTACTCTATCCGGCAATCAATTTTAGTCATCACACTGGATGAACCTATAAATGTTGGGATTGTGTTTGTCCAGGTTAAAAGGGAACTGGAACAGTGACCTCAACGTCTGGAAATCCACGGTATCATATTCTCAAACAAATCACCGACAATTTCTCAGAACCAAGGTTGAGTTTCTGATGTTCTATTTTGTAAACTAGGTCTTCTTACCTTTGAGGAATTAGAGTGCAACTTTCCTTGCAAATATTTGGACGAACTTAATCTCCAAATATCAGGACAATTAAAGGATCCTAACTGGATTTCTTGAGCCCATACACAGTCAGAAGGGCTCACTGGTAGCAGTACGCACACGCCTACAGTCTGGGACATTTTTGGCCTGAGCCTTAAATACCTCAGAAAGTGAGAGGATCCATTAAGTAGGAAAAATACTTTGTACTACCATCAGATCAGTACCCTCACTTTGCTTCCAAGCTATAAAATATGCCTGAATTGCTTATAAAGTTTTACCTAAAATTTCAGAAACCCAGTTGGCAGATTTAATCTTCATATACAAGGTCAAATACTCTCCTCTTACTCCTTCTTCTGATTTTGACTGCTATATCCCTAGGAAAATGGTGTGACAGACTTTTTTTCCTGGCAGGCTGAACAACACAAACTCTGAGACAGAAAATTCTTTTCATTCCTCCTATTAGTTTTTATTGTCTCCATAGAACTGGAAAAGTGGACAAGTCTCTTTTTCCTTTTGTATGCCTGCTGACCTTTGGGGCCTAAATTCCCTCCCTTTAGTTGCAGACCACTGAGACCCAGAGAGAAAACAGCATTTGTGTCCATACTAGCTAAATGTCAAAACTGTTAGAATAAAGTGGACTTTCGGTAATTAAGAAAATAACAAAGTCAGAACTTTGAAGTTTAATCCACGTGGCTGACACAATCTTAAATTCATTATTTCACAACAGGAACTGAGTAAGTTTTATTATATTCAGGCCATAAATCTGATTACTTCATTCAGTTCTGAAATGAGTTCTGAATATCCAAGAGCACAGGACTCTTATCTAAATTCACAGTCCCTGAAGCTTCCAAAGAGCAGCATAGCCTTGTCACAAAGTAAGCCGTCAACCCAAGGAAACTAAACACAGAGGGATAAGGGTGGGTTGTGACGAAGGAGATGCAGTGCTTCTTCTGGCCAAATTTTGAGGGCAAATTTCCGCTAGAAATCAGTAGCGATTATTCATATTTTTTAAACAAAAAAATGCTTCTATACATTCCTTCAATTTACACATTCATTACGGAAAAGAGAAAGCAAAATTTCATTAACTGGCCAAAGAGCAAAACTAAACAAAAAGGATCACAGCAAACAAGGATTAGTCACTTTCTTTGGTCTACTTAGCTGAAGCTATCTATGTCTCTTTCATATGTATCTAAGAAAGAGCATAGCTAGGAAATGGTACCTTGTAAAACAGACAAGTGAAGAAATACACAAAGAATTAGGAGGCTTTCAAGGTGTCACTTTTCTTTCGGAGGTTGGGTGTGGGTACAGGAGCCACGCTGCCAGATTCAGAGAGCAAATCAATGCCTGCTGCTGCTAAGTCACTTCAGTCGTGTCCGACTCTGTGCGACCCCATAGACAGCAGCCCACCAGGCTTCCCGGTCCCTGGGATTCTCCAGGCAAGAACACTGGAGCGGGTTGCCATTTCCTTCTCCAATGCATGAAAGTGAAAGTGAAAGTTAAGTCACTCAGTCGTGTCGGACTCTTAGCGACCCCATGGACTGCAGCCCACCAGGCTCCTCTGTCCATGGGATTTTCCAGGCAAGAGTACTGGAGTGGGGTGCCATTGCCTTCTCCAAAATCAATGCCTAGGGACAACAAAATTAAAGGGCAGACTCAGCAGCCACATGATTAATTCAATCAATACTGAGTGAAAACCAGAAATAGAAATCTGGTAATATTCCAGTTAATTGGATTAGCATTTCGGGCCAAAAAAGAATCCATGTGGTGATGAGGCATCTTTTGCATGTCAGTCTTAAGTAGAAAACGGTCTTGTTTCCAACTTAATCTGTAAATAAATTAGTCACACCCAAACATTTAAGTACGGGGAGATGAAAAAAAATATGTGCAATAAACATGCATCTATGTGTTTCAATGGGCTATCTTTTATAATGTAAATTTGGACTCTGAGAAGACAAAAATACATGCTGGTGAGAAACCTTGAGATCACAGAAATTTCAGGGAGTAAAACTTAAATTGAGTCTAGGATCGAAAATACTCTCAGAAAACTGCCAATCAGCAGTACAGACTTTCCTTTCATAATTTCTCCCATAGTAAGATGATGTGATAGTTAAAATAATGACATTTCTGACAGTGAAGTGGCTAAAATTCCACGTGGCTTCTTTATCTCCAGGGTCTTTTTTTTTTTTTTTCCAGCGAGTACTTTATCATATAAATGAAAGATACCATAACGTACTTTAACTTGTGACTACAGTAAATCATCACAAGAAACAGCTCCTGCAGAAACGACACGCTGGGGCCACTGAAATAATGATGTGGCAGCTCCATCCCAGCCTTTGTACAGGGAGGGCACTGAGTCCTTTTGTACGTGTAACCGAAGACTTTGTACTCAACTGCACCCACAGGGCTATAAAATGATTGGCTGCGGTTTAGCCAAAGTATTGGAGCTTCAGCTTCAGCATCCTTTCAATGAAAGGATTTCATTTCATTGAAAGGAAAGGTTGATTTCCTTTATTACTGACTGGTTTGGGCTTCCCTGGTGGCTCAGATGGTAAAGAATCACCTGCAAAGTGGGAGACTTGGGTTTGATCCCTGGGTTGAGAAGAACCCCTTGAGAAGGGAATGGCTACCCACTCCAGGATTCTTGCCTGGAGAATTCCATTGACAGAGGAGCCTGGTGGGCTACAGTCCATGGGGTCACAAGGAATTGGACACAACTGAGTGACTAACATTTCACACTTAGAATATAAATGCAATTCATATGTTATGGCTCAAGCATGTTGCCACAATGGAATGCCAAAGAAAAAAATAACAGTATTTCCTATTGCTTACAAAGTTGGGCCATATGAAAATCAACTGAGTTAATAGCTACAGTGAAGAATGACAAGAAGACTACAAAGCAACCAGAGACATGGTTTTTCCCCCCAAATACTTTCCAGCTAGAAAAGACAGTAAAAACATAGAACTTTCCACACAGACCCTCTCTTTTAAATCCCAGATCCACCACTTGCTAATTGTGTGACCCTAGGCAAGTTTCTTTCCTTCTCTTAACTTTGATTTCCTCATCTATTACAAGAGGATGAAAAAGCAGCACCTGCTCCCCAGGGCTGTTATGGAGAAAAAAGAGAGAATTCATGTAATACTTTCAGACGGTGCAGGTGTTAAGCGTTAAGTATGTTTTAGCTAAATTGTATCTGACTCTTTTGTGACCCCATGGACTGTAGCCTGTCAGGCTCCTCTGTCCATGAAATTACCCAGGCAAGAATACTGGAGTGGGTTGCCATGCTGTCCTCCAGGGGATCTTCCCAACACAGGGATCGAACCCACATCTCTCATGTCTCCTGCATTGACAGGCAGGTTCTTTACCACTAGCAATACCTGGGTAGGCTCAGGGGAGCATGAGGTTTGGGAAAGGCTTCCAGAACACCGAATCAGTCAGTGCAAGACTTGGTTCTAACTGCTTTGTGCAGGAAGAGTAGAAGGGCTAGAATATAAAGAGGAAGAACGATTTTCTTCACCAAAATCCATCATCTAGCAATGAACACAAATGACCAAAAGGAAAGTGATAAGGGCTATGAGTGAGCTATAATGTGCTAAGAAGGTTCTAAAGAGGGGTAGTTATTTCCAGCTGGTTAAAAGGGTGTGAACTTTACAAAAAAAAAAAAAAAGCCTGTAAGCAAAGCTTGAAGCATAGTAAGTATTAATATTTTCACAAGTAGAGAAGAGAGAGAAGCATTCCTGAAATGGTGATTCATATTTGGTTGTAAGAGAGTGATGATACAATAATCCTTCTTGAGAATCCCTTTTTAGTACTTTACTAAAAATGAGCATCAGGAATAGCAACATATTACATGTCTTAAATTTATATTTTAAAGTATTTGTTTTCATTTTTAGTTTGAATCTGGAAATTTTTGATCAAGAGAAATTTTAGAGATTTGAAGTTTTAATGACCCCTTTCTATTTTTCTACATTAATTCCTGAGAGTAAGTTTTCATCTTTACTATGTTTTTACATGTCAATATAACATCTATATTCTTCATAAACCCATATATTTAATGCCTGAAAATTAACAGATCACAATTGTGTTTCAATTCCAAACATACTAAGACCATTTTAAGAGATGAGATTCAAATTGTAAGTAATCACATTTACAGAATTTTCAGGACAAATTTCCAACACACAGGGCTCATTCATTACTTTAGTATATAAAATGCTTTTCAAAGTCATAACTTTAAAATAATCTCTAAATTTTTTTTAAAATAAACTCTATCTTAGAAATGCCATGTCCCTTCAAAAGCTTCAGTTTTGTATTTGAGCCAGTTATTGATACTCTTTTTTTTTTTGTTTGTTTCCCTATTTATTTATTTTTATTTTTTTTATTTTTCATTTATTTTTATTAGTTGGAGGCTAATTACTTTACATCATTGCAGTGGGTTTTGTCATACATTGAAATGAATTAGCCATGGATTTACATGTATTCCCCATCCCGGTCCCCCCTCCCTAGTTATTGATACTCTTATGAAAAATTTATATCACTTACCTAATTTAGATCATTTCATTCTTATAATATGTCTACTTTCCTGAATTTATCCATTCATCTATGATGACCTATTGTGTTACAGTAGCTTTTTAATCCTTTCAAATTTAATAAGGAATGTACCTTTTAATACTGCCCGTCATCAATAAACAAATATTTGATTCTACTATCAAGATTTTTCATAAAAACAGGGAACATAAATTGCTAGGTAATATAAGTGAATCCAATGCCTTGATTTACTTCTGAAACATTTAATTTGTGACTTCTGTTTATTAGTTCTCTGAAAAAAAAAACCTCCATTTTTCACAAAAGTAGTGACACCATGATCACCTAAAATAGTATTAATATCCACCTAAGGAAGAAAGATATGAAGTTGGGGGAAAAAAAGACACGGAACTCCAAAAATCTCTTTTACCTTTCCATGAATTAGATGAAGGAGCACAGGTCTTTGCATTGCTTCCAAGTTTTCCTTTCTTATGATTTGAGATGACTTTTTTCCTTTGAAAATGCTCTTGTCTCCTCTCCGTTGATTCACATTTTCAACATTTACATCTTTCATCTGGAATCACGGAAAGAAACCTATTAGAAAAACTTCCTATACCTGTTTCCATCAGAGTTTTCTAGAAAATAAAATGGTAAAGCAATAAACAGGGTTGGCCATAATTTCTTCTGTCATTCAATACATGATTCACTGTACCTAGCCATCATCTTTAGAAGAAAGGAGAAGGTATTAAAAAATTAGATTTTTGAATTAGGCAAAAATACTGACATTAAAGGAATCTGTGACTTTAGGTTTATAGTGACTGTGGCTGCAATATGGCTCTTTAATATCGTTTTCACTCTCTTCATTTGTTTTGAACTGTTGCTGTCTGCCTGCTCTCTTCACTTTCTGTACCATTTGTTTGAAAGGTATCCTGCCCCATTGTACCTCATCTATACATACAAAATTAAGGATTAACAATCTGATCACTGAACAAAGAGGTACAGAATGTTTTCTGCAGAATACTGTTCTACTGAGAAATGGGGAGGTGGATGATAAAGTTTTGATCCAACTTGCAAAACGCACACAGCTATTAGAGACAACCAAAGAAGTAAAGATCACTTGATAAACATATTGCAATGATACCTCATTATAAAGTATATTACCAGCTACTTACCAGTTACAATGAGGAAAATCTTGGTCCTGGTACCGGTTTCACACTGACATGTAGGGGAACTGACTTTACTAAAGAAATCTATTGCTTTTAGATCTTTGAAAAGCAAATGTGGAATCATATATTAAAGTTGGAAGATGCCCCAAAGGCCATCTAATTTGACCTTTGCCAACACATAAATCTAAAGCATCATAACTGACCAATTACTGCCATTCAGGGAAGCACCTGGTTCTGTCCTCGGGAAGAATGCAGAATAGGTTACTCCCTCATTGGTGATTCTACCTGTCAGATCAAGGAACTCAGGAAAGCTAGAAGGTCACAATTCATCTCCTTCTTTACTTAGAGTGGTCTCAATTGCTTTTCATATGACATGGATTCTACACTCCTTACATGCAGAACATTTCAAATGGATTCTGGTTTTTGTACCTATTAACATGACATATTAACAGCCTGGCATGCTGCAGTCCATGGGATCACAGCTGGACACAACTACGCTACTGAACAACAGCAAAATATGACATCTAGAACTGAACATAATACTTTAGTTACCAGTAGACACCTTCATTTGCCTGCTTCAATAATTTGGAAAGATCAGATAATTTTTGATTAGCAAAAACTTCAAAACTGTATATCTACTTATTTAAGTGATGGATAACATTCAATGAACATATGACCAACAGCACAAACAAGTGCTATTGAATGGTACACTTCTCAAAGACTTTGCTAACATCTAATCTTTGCATCTCTCTGGTAGAAAATACCCACCGTAATTTGGATCAGTTGGTTATCATCACCATCAGGACTCCTCCACAGTAAGACGACATCCACATTGGATGAAATTCGATAGCCTACACTGTCTTGGAGGTTTCCTTTGCCCCGATCGAGAAAAACTTCAGTGGAATATGTAAGTTTGTATAGTCGGTCATTATTTAATGAGAGACCAGTTGTGTGACCTGTAAAAAGACAGTGATACAAGTCAAGTCTTAGTTGTAAGGCACCCAGCAGGCCAGGGACTATGCTATCTTGCCATCAATGCATTCCTTCTCCAGTACATTAGTACCCAGTGGGAGCTTATATTTGTTAACAGGAGTAAATCTTTGCTAAGTGAAACATGGTTCTACTTATTCATCTGCTGAAATTATTGGTTGAACAACAATAAAAACAACAACTAACAAAGAAATAAGCTTCCATTTCAGAAAACTTAGTATCTTTAAATAATAATCCAATTATCTAAATATTGCCTTGGTTGAACTATAGAATATTTTAAAATAAATATCATTGTATTGCTTTAACTTATATGTATATTATTTCTTCCCCTCTCCCTGCCCAGCTTTCTTTAAATCAAATAATAAAATTTGATTTCAAGTAGAAGTTCAGCCAGAGATTGCCTGGTAATTTGCAATTAACATATTTAAAATACAACAGGTCAAAGCCAAAGAAATTTTAGCGGTTAGATGGTGGTCCCTTACATTGGATATTTTGAACATTTAAACAATATCCCTTCAAGGTAATTTACCCTATTAATTAAATTAGCAAACTTCCAGTATGAAAGTACATTTCAAGGCAACACATATGTAAATTTAAATTAGCTGTTCCTGAATAAAAGGATGCTTTCCTACATAAAATCCAGCACAGGCTTTAATTTGGAAGGGACAATTTAATGTTTAATGTCAAATAGTATACAAGTCGGCATCATAACCAAAAAAAAAAAAGAAAGATATATGGAGGAGTTCATACACTTTCCAGTCAGTATATCTTAACCCAAAGAAAACATAAAAGAGTAGCATCCAGTCTTTCCCAAAGATGAACAGAAGTCATACAAAGTCTTTTGAAATATCTTCTAGTCATAGCTCTCAGGAGAGAGTAAAATAAGATTTCAGTATGCATTTTTCCTCAGGGCTAACAGGGCAGAATTGACTAGTTAACTATAACAGGCAACCATGTCTCTTTTTCCCCCACAGGAAATATGCATATGGGGGAGGGACAGAAAAGAAGGCTGAGATGACTAGGCAAGATGTGAGGCAGCTGAGAAAGGAAGTAAAATTACTTGAAAAGTCAAAAATTAAGAAAACCTCCTTACTGTCTGTTCTAAGTCTTTCCTACATATTAACTTATTTAATCCTCACAAAAATCTAATGGGGTAGGTACTATTATTAGCCTGATTTTATAGTTGAGGAAATCAAGAGACACAGAGATTATATAATTTACCCAAGATCACTCAGGAAATTAGTGGTGAAGCCTCTAACACCCTGTCTGGATCCAGAGACTGTGGATCTTACCTACACTATACACATATAAACCTTTAGGTTGGCCTCTTCCATTCCTGGGGACTGAGCTAGGAATTCATTCATTCATTCAACAAGGACGTACTGAGCAACTACTGGGTAGTCAGCACTTGTCTAGGTTCTGGGGCTATACCAGTTAACAAGCAGACAACATGTCTACCTCGGTGGCGTTTACATTTAAATGAGAGGGGGTGGGCAATAAAAAAATCAAGTACATAAGTAAATTATAAAGAATATTAGAAGTGCTAATGAAGAAAAATGAAATAGGAAAGGAAATGGGTATGTTCAGGGGAAAATCTTTATTGAGAAGGTAATATTCTGGGCAAGGACTTTAGGCTAGTCACTTGGATATCTGCGGAGAGGGCACTCCCCACCCCTCCTTCCTCCCATTTCTCACCACCACACCCCCCTCCATCCCTCCACAGACGGGAGAACAAGTTCAAAGACCCTGAGGAGAGTTCCCGGAGGGGAAATGGAGGAACAACAGAGAGGCCAAAGACTCTGGGATTGGGTAAAAGACAAAGCTAAAATAGATGAGGTCAAATAGGCACCCATGAGTGTCTGGGAGATGATGGGTGAGGGGAGCAGGTATTTGCATAGACTTAGAATTTGACTGAGTGAGATGAAAAACTATTGAAAAGTTTTGGTGGTGAAGGTACATGATCTGACAAAACTTCAGTGAAAGGGGATGAGGATTTTAACAGGAAAATTTTTAACAGAAAAGCCAGAAGGAAATAATGGAGTGGGTACCCAAATGTGTACATGAAAACAGGCTGTGTCCAAGCACCAAGTCAGGCAGAACCTCAGGTATGACATAAGGAAGGCAGACAAAGGCAGGAAAATCCTTGAAGGAGACAAAGTCTGTGACTCCCTCTAGCTTCCCCAAACTGGGGATACTGCTGCAGCTTTCTGACCAGAAAAATATTTTGGTCAAAGAGGCCTTCCTTTTTACGACACCTATCAAATTCCACAAAGGGCAAAAAGGAAATACTTGTTGCCTTATCTAACCCTCACAGCAATTCTGATAGGTAAGCAGTATAGGGCAGTTAAGAAAAGCTGACTCCACATTTAATTCAATGTAGCAGATAGAATGCTGAATTTGATGTTGGAATATACTAAAATTCAAGTTTTGTGGACAACCTGAAGGTGGCTTCTGATTAAAATAATTATGAAAAAAAATAATAAAATAAAATAATTATGAAAAATTTCTCTTTAATGCTAAAGCCTTCAAACTATCATGCTGGGGTTTTTTTTGTTTCTTTGTTTGTTTGCTTTTACTTGACTGGTCAAAAGAATGTGAAAAGGGACAATATATTTCAGTTTCTGACGATGACTTGGAATTGATAAAGAATGGCTTTCTTCTACAACTTTTCCTACCTCTTTCAATAGGAGATACGTCCTAAAAAGATTAAAGATACATCCTTTAAATAAGTGGATCATGCTGAAGTGCTGTCCCTGTTGTCCTTTCCTCTTTGATAAGTATTTCTCTATTTATGTTACTCAGAGATTCAGCAATACTGGCAAGTGGGGGCATGTTCCATTTATATATCTTGACTAAATTTCTGTCTTTGGGTGTTGCTCTGTAGAGTATGCAGCAGGGCAACAGGAATTGATGGCAGATTAAATGAGAAAATCAATTTTAGCCCCCAAAGGAGTCTGTACCTTTTCAATGTGTTCCTCTGAGGGAATTTTTTTACTACCACAAAAGGAAAAAAACTTTTAATTTTGAAATTAAAAAAAAAATCTCAAAATATTCTTTTATTAAACTCAGATCAGTGTAATAGTTAATTGACTTAAGCAAAAAAATAAAATAGAAATAAGCTAGTAAAGGTGAGGCTTGAAGAGACCTGCAGTGATGATAAGGATGAAAGATAAAGGGACTTAGGAATCCAACAGAAACCCAGAAGGCCGGAAGGAAAAGAGTAAGATGAAGGATAAGGGAAGGGAAAATACGGAAGATGTTGTTGTGAATGGACTGAAAAGTATAGTCAGGCCAGGAAATGAAAGAAAGACTGGTGTGAAGGAACAGTTCAGGTTTAGAGGTAACAAGATTAAGTAGAAAATGTAGGTATGGGTGGATTATCAAAAGGAAAAGCATTATGAAGAAAGCCCAAAGAAGACACTGAGAATAGACCCACCATTACAAAATATGATTTAGAAAAAGCAGAGGTAACACAAATCTCCCCAACATTGAGTCAGCATGTCTCTTCTCTATACTAACTCCTTCTTCATTCAATTTACAATCTAATCTGCTCTCAACATCCACCCAGATCTGGAGATTTGCTAAATAATTGCATTGATAATTAACTGTGAGATGAGTTTTGAAGTGATGCATAACATCCCAAATTTATAATGGCCTGATTTTAAAGTAAACTCTTCACAGCTAGTTTGCTTATTAAATGTCAATCATGTCAAAGGACAAGGAATCTATGATTAAACCATGATACATGGCTTCCCAGGTGATGCTAGTGGTAAAAAATCCACCTGCCAGTGCAAGAGACACAAGAGACTAGAGTTCAATTCCTAGGTCGGGAAGATCCACTGGAACAGGTAATGGCACCCCACTCCAGTATCCTTGCCTGGGAAATCCCACGGTCAGAGGAGCCTGGTGGGCTACAGTCTATGGGGTTGCAAAGAATCGGACACAACAGAGTAAACAAAGCACCATAATATAAGAAGTTACCCCATCCAGGTAAGAGAAAGTTGTCAAGTCCTATATCTTTTATTCATGATATTTGGCACAAGAAGCTTATATCACAACACTAATAACACTTAAGCTTTGAAGCCCTCACTTGCCCAGGCCTTTTCCAAGATCTTAGAAGGGGACCCTGGTGTTATGCATACATGCTGTATCTTTTTTCAATAATAGTTGTAAAAGTAAGATTTTTTTTGTGTGAAAATGTAGATTTTTTTTCTCAAATATGGAGCCTGAATTGTAAAAGCTTCAGTTTCTAAAATTCTGGATTTGTCACTGAACTTACAACAAACTGTAGCTATCTATTATGTTCTCAGTCGTATTTCCCTGTATGTCATTTCTGTGTGTGTATATATGTGTATTTACATCTTTACAAATGCGTTTAATTGAAAACATCAAGTTATCCAATATTCTATGTAGGAAAGGGAAGAAAAGAGAAGCCCACAGTATCTCAATTATTTTTCTCAAAATAATGATGGTATTATGTTCGACCTCATGGTGTATAAATCGGTCATATTATGAATATTTAGCAGTATTTGACATAAAATGCAAGCTGTTTCACAATTCTCTGTCAGATATAATTTACAAACCTTTATTTTTTTTCATTAAAATTTTCTTTCATCCAAGTAAGGCTGTATCTTTACCAAACATTTTAGAAAATTGTTATATATATATGCATATAAATATATGTATAATCTTTAGTTCAAGAATCTGAAATGTAATTTGCTTAGGTGAAATAATTTAGTCCCCCCCACCCCCATTTATTGTTCCAATAGCAAAAATTGTCTCTTTTCCTCATGTGGAAATTTTCCATACAAAAAATTTTGAGACAAACTTTACCTTATTAAAAAAAGTCACAGTTATCAAAAGAGGAGTTTAGAAGCTTACAAGTGAGTTGTTTTATATCAATTGCTTAGAGTACACAGTTATTAAAATTGGACCCTATCAAGCTAAGTTTTATAATAGGTCCACTTATTTTGATGGTGAGTCCTCTTAAGAGATTCTAAAAAGCGATCATTTTACAGGTGCAATATGTAGAAATTCAAGGCATGCATAAATTAGCTGATTTAAAACAAGATTACATATTAATATATTTCATACAGCTTTTTGAAATTATTACTTAAAAGTTTGTTTGCTCTGAAAGTTACCAATTCATATTATCTTAAAATAGAAACTATAATGAGCAACACTATTTTTCCAAAGATAAATGTTATCTCTTAAATCTATGTCGTGCAGTTTTATTTTCTATAATCCACCAACTATGATAATCTTATCTTTTTTGAATGGTGATAGAATTAAATACAGGCTTTACCATTTCATTCATAATCCTTTGAGTCAAATGCCTTTTTCATTGAGTCTAATTCTCTTTGATGTCACATTGCTAGGCAACCAGAAGGAAATTTAAGAACTGGTTTTTTTAAATCTACTTTTACAATTCAAATGAAGGAGCTGCTTTCATTGAGTGACCAGCAGCAGCAGGTAACAATAGCTGGCATCTTTTTTCTCCCTTTTAAAAATAAACCATGAATGAGAATGAAGCAAGAAGCATGCTAGTCTGTAGGATTGAAAATAAAAGGAACCTCTGTTTTCTTAATGTATGTAGGAATTCGAATTTAGTTTTCATTCCAACCCAGTCATGCCTTCACCAGCATTCTAAAGTTACATGGGTTTGAAGATCACTTAGTTAAGAATTCTTTCATTACACATACACACACACTTTTTCCCCCTCAACAATTAAAATTAAAGTTTAGCAGAAGGCAACACAAACTTACCTTTAACAGAAGCTGAATATGAGGAAATGAAGCAGAGAAAAAGCACAGCGAGAAGAATCATATTGATTAAGCTACCCTCTAATGCATGCAGTTCCCAGCTAGAAGTCACTGAGAAGTGGACTCTTTCAGTGGCAGCAAGGGAGTGACCCTTCTCAGAACCTGCAACAATGTTTATCTTTGGGAGAAAGGTCAGATTCCAAACTCCAAAATCAGGACCTAAGTTCACAGAAGGGCTCACTATTAATAATTAAACTTAGGTGGGCTATAGTTTTCAGTCTCTCACTCTTTTACTTTTTTACTCAATAAGAAAAATCAAGAAAATTTTCACTTTTGAGAGCTAAACTAAACCAGTTAACATCCTGTAAATTCAAAAGTACAGAGGGGCAATCAAGGAAAACTGGGGATGATACACTTCTGCTCAGCACATAATCATCAACATTCCTATAACATTGAATGCCTGTCTTCACATTTACCATTTGATGTGGGAAAGTGGTGAGGATTTGTGAACTCATGTAAACTTGATGGAATTTTATTTCTTGTATGGTCATCTGAAATTTTTTATACCATGTGTATGCTATTATTAAAAAATCACTCTGAACTTTAGAATATGAATTTTAAAATTTTAACTTGAACCACCACCAGTCACTTCAAAATAATGTTAGAATAGATACAACATTCATTTCCGAAAACTAGATGATTCTTTCTATGTGTGAATCAGCATTGTCTACCATTAACACACTAGCAGGCGTGTGATAGCAAACTCTGATAGCAAACTATGCAAACATAGCAAACTATGATAAACTCAGTTTATGACTGAGTTTATCATAGTAGACCCCTAGCTATAGCTATGACAATAAACAATTGTCTGGATCCTCAGATTGGCTGGCTGCAGTTCCCTGTGCTTTCTGAATCCCAGTTCTAGGCAGAAATTCAGAAAGGGGATTCCAGTCCTTAACACTTTTGCAACAGAAAATTAATTAGGACACTTCTCTAGAATTAAAGTGAATACCCTAGAATGGCTAAGACCACACTAACTAAACCAGCTCTGCCCTTGTAAACTTCTGCAAGAGAAACTTGCTATGAATAAAACCTGCTAAAATGAGGTGATTTGCAAACCATGTGGGGATACTTTGGCAAAGGAAGGAATAATGTGTTGGTGAAGGGACTTTTCAAATAAAATTGAAAATATTTATGGCCATGTTTGGGGCTTCCCTGCAGGCTCAATGGTTAAGAATTCACCTCTTGGCCAAGCCGGAGACCTGAGTTCGATCCCTGGGTCAAAAAGATCCCCTGGAGAAGGAAATGGCAATCCATTCCAGTAATCTTGCCTGGGAAATTCCATGGACAGAGGAGCATGATGGGCTACAGTCTATGGGGTCACAGAATCAGACATGACTTAGCAACTAACTGCAGCAGTATGGTCATGTTTAAGCATAACGTCTTCTTATATCTAACCTCACCTCTCTCCAAACCCTTTTCTAGAATCCTAACCTTAAGCTTAAATCTTCTAGACAACACAGGTAAAAGACAGTCAACTTGATAGACAGGGCCACAAGATGAAATCTAAAATATAAAGTCTCAAAGTTAAGCATACTTCCTTTTGAAATATGTGTATTTTTATAAAGAACTGAAATGTGAAAATTGTTTGTCTTTATCATCTATTGAGATTAGAACTTAATTTGCTATTATGTTTTATATATAAATCACAGCTAAAGTACCTATACAAAAATAAAATATTTGGTTATTACTTTCACTTTAAAGTTATAAATAATACGTTGTCCTGGGGTAAATAGAAAATAGTAAGTTGTCCTCTTAGAAAAATAACTGGTGAAGAAATATAAGTTTTTATGAATGGTAGGTATTATAAATACAAGATAACATGAAAGTGCTTTATTGCTTTACATTTGAATAGATTTCAATGTAGTCCCACAATTTCTGCATTGCATACATAGTGATATGAAGCCACTATAGTCACTTAAACTTTACACATTTTTTTGTTTAGATTAAGGACTATTTTAAATTTTATGAGAACTGCCTTTTGTTTTCATTTGAGGTTTACAACTCCATGCTTGTGGTTCGACTATGTGGTGCATGATACGTGTCTATTTGGTTAAAGTACTATTCGTTGTCAGATGTTTACCAGAGTTGAACCAATAAAAAGCATATCACTATTGCCTAACAAAATCTGTTTCATTTGAGTATTTGCCTTCCACTAGAAAACATCTATGAGTCACTGTATTAAGTAGTCATTTAAATGTAGGATGTTCAAATAAGGCTACTTCTATTGGTAATAAAAACCATCATCCTTAACTTTTTACAAAGATATTTGAAGTACTTCTTAAGATAGTTTCAGAGATGAAATAAGAATGCCAAAGCCTTTCCATATCCAGTGAATTCTGTGTGTCAAAAAGAGGGATTCTCCTTGGTTACTCTGTTGACCAAGCAAAGTGACATTTTACAATAATGTGGGAGATATCTCCAAATCTTATCATGTGTAAATCAGCTATTTACACAGCATGTGAAGCAATACAGAAGCACACCACGATACAGGAATAAGAGCTTGCCATCTATGGTACAATTATTAGGTTAATACACTATGCTAAGCACTGAACATTTTCTAGTATAGCCTAACAACCATTATTTCACATGTTAGCAAAATGACATTCAGATTAACTTAGTAAAATGGTTTAAGGATCCTAGAAAAACAAACATTGAAAGCTAGATACAATATTCTCCTTTACTTAAACAATATTAGAGATAGGAAGTGGAAAAACTTGATTTTTTACGTATGACATAGAATTATCAATTCGGACTGTCTTTTAATAAGTTCATCACACTTTTGTGTGAAGGCTAACAGGTAGCTTAATTGCTCTGGCTAGATGTTCCAGGCTGAACAGATTGTTCCAGGGAAAAAACTGATCTGTGCTAGTCAGGTCACAATCAAGTAATAGATTTTAAAACAATGCTATTGCAATGAAATCCATTGGTAAGTACATGGTACTGTGGAATATCTGCTATTCTATTTGGCAGTGATAATAAGAGGCTATGAAATAAAGATGGCTAACTAATTCCAAAGTACAGCTGTGTTTCTGTTAAGTATCAGAGGTTGCTAGGAGTTAACTCATTTCCTAGATTAGAAGATGAATGAACTTCACCCCACTAAAGGCTGGAAGGAAATGTATTACTCTTCTACATATAATTAAGTCAGAATGTATGATAGATATCTATGGAGGGAAGAAAGGCATTGTGACGTCAGAGCACTTTACTCTATCCTAGAAAGAAGCAAGACACTAATGAAGAAAACTTTTTAGAGGGACTCTTCAAGTTATCCCTAAGTGGTCATAACAGAATTCTACTAGTATTTTCAGTTTGATGAGTGAATTAGCATTCTCAGGAATCCTGCAAAAAATATTTTTGGTAGGTAAGGAAGACCGTGGGGATCCTAGAACAAATCCCACACAGATACTGAGAGAGGACTGTACATTTTGTCTTTGCCTTTTGTCAGTTAACATTTTCTCAGTTTGTTTTTAATTTTTTATTTGAGTAGAGTTGATTTACAATATTGTGTTAATTTTGGGTGTATGTCAAAGTGAATCAGTTACACATATCTACTCTTTTTTAGATCTTTCTCCCATATAGACCATTACAGATTATTGAGTACAATTCTCTGTTCTATACAGTAGGTCCTTATTAGCTAACTATTTTATAGATAGTAATGTGTATATGGTTCTATGAAGACCTACAAGGTATTTTAGAACTAACACCCAAAAAAGAGGTCCTTTTCATTATAGGGGACTGGAATGCAAAAGTAGGAAGTCAAGAGACACCTGGAGTAACAGGCAAATTTGGCCTTGGAGTACAGAATAAAGCAGGACAAAGGCTAATAGAGTTTTGCCAAGAGAACACACTGGTAATAGCAAACACCCTCTTCCAATGACACAAGAGAAGACTCTACACATGGACATCACCAGATGGCCAACACCGAAATCAGACTGATTATATTCTTTGCAGCCAAAGATGGAGAAGCTCTATACAGTCAGCAAAACAAAACCAGGAATGGACTGTGGCACAGATCATGAACTCCTTATTGCCAAATTCAGACTTAAACTGAAGAGAGTAGGGATAACCACTAGACCATTCAGGTATGACCTAAATCAAATCCCTTATGATTATACAGTGGAAGTGAGAAATAGATTTAAGGGACTAGATCTGATAGACAGAGAGCCTGATGAACCATGGACAGAGGTTCATGACATTGTACAGAAGACAGGGACCAAGACCATCCCATGGAAAAGAAATGCAAAAAGGCAAAATGGTTGTCTGAGGAGGCCTTACAAATAGCTGTGAAAAGAAGAGAAGTAAAAAGCAAAGGAGAAAAGGAAAGATATTCCCATTTGAATGCAGAGTTCCAAAGAATAGCAAGGAGAGATAAGAAAGCCTTCCTCAGCAATCAATCCAAAGAAATAGAGGAAAACAACAGAATGGGAAAGACTAGAGATCTCTTCAAGAAAATTAGAGATATGAAGGGAACATTTCATGCAAAAATGGGTTCAATAAAGGACAGAAATGGTATGGACCTAACAGAAGCAGAAGATATTAGGAAGAGGTGGCAAGAATACACAGAAGAACTGTACAAAAAACATCTTCATGACCCAGATAATCACAATGGTGTGATCACTTACCCAGAGCCAGACATCCTGGAATGTGAAGTCACATGGGACTTAGAAAGCATCACTACGAACAAAGCTAGTGGAAGTGATGGAATTCCAATTGAGCTATTTCAAATCCTGAAAGATGATGCTGTGAAAGTGCTGCACTCAATATGCCAGCAAATTTGGAAAACTCAGCAGTGGCCACAGGACTGGAAAAGGTCTGTTTTCATTCCAATGCCAAAGGAAGACAATCCCAAAGAATGCTCAAACTACCACACAATTGCACTCATCTCACACGCTAGTAAAGTAATGCTCAAAATTCTCCAAGCCAGGCTTCAGCAATATGTGAACCGAGAACTTCCAGATGTTCAAGCTGTTTTTAGAAAAGGCAGAGGAACCATAGATCAAA